TGGTTCCTAGTCAGGAACCAAATGTGGGGAAGGAAGCACAGCTGTGGGTTGAACCTGACGCCTAGGTTGTGCACCGGTTCGGTAAGTCTGAGGGATAGGCTGGGAAGGTTCAGGAGGTCAGAGCCGTAGGACAGAAGATGTTGACGGGAGCCAATGAGTATAGCTTTCATCTTGTCAACATTGAGTTGTAGGAAGTTTTCGCTCATCCAGGCTCTGAAAAGCCGAGAAAACATCAGCGGACCTGGAGTTGGAGAAGTAAATTTGTGCGTCATCCGCATAGATGAGGTTTACCCCATGATTACATGAAGTTTGCCCCATGTCTGTGGATGACATTGTCAAGAGGGAGTGTACAGATGAGGAAGAGGAGGGGGCCAAGATGGAGCCCTGGGGTACACCACAGGTGATCAGGCAGGAGGAGAAACTGTTTTAGGAGTTAAAATGAAGGCAATTTGTTAGGTTGGAATCAAACCAGGTCAGCATGGATGAGGAAGGAGGCGGTGGAGGAGGATGGTGTGATCAACTGTGTTGAATGCAGAGGAGAGGTCCAGGAGGACAAGCAGGCAGAGGGAACCCTGGTCACAGAGAGAGAAGACGTCGTTTGTGACTTTGACAAGCACCGTCTCTGTGCTACGGGCAGTCAGGACAAAAACCTGGAGGATCTCGGGGAGAGAGTGGAGGGAGAGGTGAGAGCAAAGCTGGTTAGTGACAATGTTTTCCAGAACTTTGGCAAGGAAGGACAGGTTGGAAATGGGTCGGTAATTTGTGAGGTTGGAGGAGTCAAGGGTGTTTTTTTTGAGGAGGGGATTGATGACAGCGGTTTTAAGCGGAGAGGAACAGAACCTGAGGAGAGCAACTGGTTGACTGTGTCGGCCATCAGTGGGGAGAGGAAGGGGAGTTGGGTGACCAGCAACTCGGTGGGGAGGGGGTCAAGGCAGCAGGGGGTGGGCTTCATCTAGGAGATGGTGGTTGATAGGTGGGAGTAATCAAGGCAAACAACAACAACAAAATTATATTTGTATAGCACCTGCCTTTCATGTTGGAAGAACGGTGTAAGGTACTGGACAGACAGAGTTACAGACCCGAGCTGGGGGGTCAGGATGGGGGAGGGTGGAGGAAGCAGTGAGATTGAAAGCACAGTCGAAGGGGAGGGTCTTGAGATGGGTCTTGAAGTTGGCAAGGGAGAGGGCGAGATGAAGGGACTGCGGGATAGAGTCCAGAGCGGAGGAAGTGAACAGGATGGTAGGATGTCGGAGAGGCAGGGGGAGCAAGACCGTGGCTTTGAAGGTGAGGACCAGGATCTTGAACTGTATCCTTTGTGTGAGGGGAAGCCAGTGGAGTCGGGCGAGGATGGGGGTGATAGGGTCACGGAGCTTAGTGCGGGAGAGGACATGGGCTGCAGAGTGATTTGCAGCTTGTGGAGGGAGGAGTTGGTGAGGCTGACAAGCAATGAGTTGCTTAGTCGAGCCTCGATGAAAGTGTGTATGAGGGTTTTGGCGGCCTGCGGTGAGACAGTGGCAGAGCCGGGCGATATTGTGGAGGTGGGGGAGGCAGAGCGGGTCATGGCGCAGATGTGGGGTAGAAAGGATAGTTGAGGGTCAAACAAGACCCCAAGGTTCTGGACTGGCTTAGCGAGGGGGGAGTGAGCCCCATGGATGGTGATGCTGTCAGTGCCTGAGGTGAGGAGGTGCTGACGGGAGTCAATCAGGGGTAACAGCACAGGGCAGCGCGCAGCGCAGGGCAACACCGGGCAGCATCTAGTACAGGGCAGCACACAGCACAGGGCAGCGCAGCGCAGGGCAACACCGGGCAGCATCTAGTACAGGGCAGCACACAGCACAGGGCAGCGCAGGGCAACACCGGGCAGCATCTAGTACAGGGCAGCACACAGCACAGGGCAGAGCGCAGCACAGGGCACAGCAGTGTTTTTGTTTTCCTTTATTACATTCTTGTACATAAAGTAAATTCACTTTACAGTATATTCTGTAAAGCGCTTTGAGACGTCCCGAAGACGTGATAAAGCGCTATATCAAATGCAAGGATTTTTATTATTTATTTTTATTATAAAATAATCTGTCCTGGTGACTGGAATTCGATCTCTATGTAGTACTGTAGGGTGTGGTCTGACCTGAGCTCTCAAGAGGTAGAATATGACGTCTGGTGATCGGAATTCAATTGATACAGCAATATAGGCCAGCATCCTGTTTGTCTTATTTATTGTTGCCTCACACTGTTTTGACATAATGAGCAACATGTCAACTAACACCCTTAAGAGCTCAGAGATGCTGTCCTGCATGAAGGGCAATATAAGGATGCAATTGTTGTTGTCCTTTCATGTTCCTCCTTGGTAAGTTCAATCCCTTCCAAGGAGTAAAGATGCCTCGTATTCTTACTTCCTATATGCAGTAAATTCCTCTATCTGTATTGAATGTCATTTATCAGTCATCAGCACATGTACATACCTTATCCACTTTGTTTGACCTTGTTCACGTGAACCTATTGGAAAAGAGAAAGTGTTTCTCCTGGTATCATGGCCAATAATTCCCCATGTTGGCTGTGCTGTTTACCCACATGAACAGCAACTACACGTGACATTAATTACCTGTGAAGCACTATGAGGTGATTCAATGTGAAGAAGTGCTGTAAAAATAGATGTGCATTGCTTTATTGCAGATGTTAAATGTTAATGTGATGATGCTAGTGATGTGGCTAGTGATATAGTCACGCGGGCTGGAATCCTACTGTAAACAAGCAAAACATTTACAGAAACCGCAGGCCAGAAGGCAATCCGCCCGTCAGGCCTAAACCTATGCTGACCCCTGACTGGAGCTATCCAATCCCAATCCCCCATTCTTCCCCTCCTCTTTTATCTCCTTCCCCTTCATAATGTTTAACCAATATGTTTTTTAAATGTTGTTAGTCTCAAACTCCACTTCTGGCAAGGCAACGTATGTTTGGATAACGACACACTTATGTGAAGCTTTCTCTAACCACCCCTTTAACTCGCTGCATTAATCCTCACTTTACGTCTCCTTGTTACTGAATCGCCAGCACTGGGAAAAATCTTCAACAAATCCTCTTAAATCACACGCATGTGGAGTAAGTGTGGAGTAAGGAAACTTGTCTGCCCAGGAATCAAAACTGGGTTATTTTACTTGCAAAGCGATCACACAAACTACTATGCAATAGGACTCCACAAGTAGAAACCTGTTAGCCAGATTTCTAATCTCTCGTATCGTCTCAAACACGAGAGGTGTGTTTACTATTATCTTCCATTCATCAACAGAAGATAATAATGAGTGAAAAGGGAAGCGAGGAAACATGTCTCCAGACATGGGCATGGAATTGGGAAGTCAATGCCACAAAATGGCGCTGAAGCCAATTGTTTCAACTGGAATTAGACAGACACTTTACAAGAGGAATATTAAAGAAAGGGATTAGCCTCCGGGCAGCACTGCGCACCATTGCAGGGGTCAATAGTAATAATAATTACTATTACAGTGCCTCTCATGTTGGAGCCGCTTCACAGAATTTACTGTGAAATGCAGCAACAGAGTGTTGTGTGGGTGACGGCGGCCGCACAGCGGTGCCGCGCAGCAAACCCGGGTTTACCCGGGGACTGTCAGCCAAGGACACCGGGAGAGGGAACTCTGACGGGACCTCGAAGTGGCAGCACAGCGCTGAGATACAGAATGGCAGAACAGGCTCAAGGGGCTGAATGGCCTCCTCCTATTCCTATGGTGCACCACTGCAAGGATCAGCACCCCGGCGGCACCGCTCGTGCACCCCGGCGGTAGGGGGCGGCACCGCTCGTGCACCCCGGCGGTAGGGGGCGGCACCGCGGACTGAGCTTCATCCCAGAATCCGTTTGACTTTCAACAAACCTTCAGTGCGCGGCGTTCACTCCGCGGGACCTTGGAGACCGGCAGCCAATGAACGGCGCCCACTGGCTCCCAGCCCCGCCTCCGGGCCCCGGCCTGGGTCCAATCAGAGTGCAGGACTGATCGGAGCACTTCGCTACCATGTCCCTCCGCTGCTGTGGCTGTGCGGCGCCCGCGGAAGAAACAATCTTTTCAGTTGCATTTTCGTACTTCATATTTTTGTTTTAGCCAAACTGAATAATATCGCGAGTCTCCGCCCTTGCGATCGCGGCCAATGCTATCTGATATTGCGGCTCGTTTTGAAGTAAAAACTTGGAGTAGAAATGGGAACTTTTTTCTGCTGTCGCCATTGAAATTAAAAACAGGGTCCAGGCAACGGCCTCAGCCAATCAGCGACCGCCAGGCCCCGCCCTGCTATATAAAAGCCGCATCTGTGGGCGGGGCCAGGGGAGATGAACCAATAGGAGCCGCGGAAAGCTGGTGACGCGAGTTAGAGTGACGTTGATCGGGGGTAAGAAAGTAGTGCAGCGCATTTATCCGATGCCACCGTGCCGCCGCCTCGCGGTCTGTTCACCCCTACGGGCGGAGGGAAGGTATAAAGTGGGGCGCAGGCGCCGGCCGGTGGCAATGAGCTGAGAGAGCTCCCGGGGGAGGCAGCTGTGCCGGAGCAACAACAACAACAGCAGCCCCCACCCGTAGCCCCTCACCGCACCCTACGGACACAGCGGGGAGAGGCCAAGGCTCCACTCCCTCAGGTTGACTCTGGCCATTTGCACTAAAACGGTTCCGGGAAAATACATTTAACGGGAAAAAGGCAAGTGAGGGCCGGGGAGGGCCGGGGCCGGGAGGGCCGGGGCCGGGGGGGGCCGGGGCCGGGCTGCGAGCAGCGCCCATCCCGCTGACAGCTGCGGCTTAACTGGGTGCGCGAGTCCGCCAGCGCCCCGCTATAGCTGCTGTTTATCTTCCCTGTTGGAACCCCTGGGGGTGGGGAGGGGGTGACCCCTGGGTGGGATGGGGGGGGGGGTGACCCCTGGGGTGGGGAGGGGGTGACCCCCTGGGGGTGGGGAGGGGTGACCCCCTGGGGGTGGGGAGGGGGTGACCCCCTGGGGGTGGGGAGGGGGTCTCTTTCTCTTTGCCGTACCTGCTGTGGGTGGGACGGGCTGTGGCCGCTGCCTGTGGTGGGTGCAGCCCGGATTAAAGGGCGGGCTGGAGCCTGGCCGCCCGCCCGACTGCCATTTAAAGGGCTGGTGCGGTTGGCCATCTGCCTGATAGCCTACTGCTGCTGTTAATGGCATTTAAAGGGTCTCTTCCCTACTTAGTGCTTTGGGTGTTGCGGGGTATGTTGGGGGGATTGCACTCTGCCCGATATTTTCTCTCTGAATGGGAGTTTTCCTGAAGTTGTATTTGTATTTTCCTCTCTCAGTGTCATTCTTTCTGCCTCTTACTGCTCTCTAACTGGCAGCTTTACTGAGTTGGTTTAATCATTTGATTTGAGCCTCTCTGTCTCGCTCTGGCATTGGGAGGGTTGTTCAGGTCATTTGCATTCTGCTTGGTATTTGCAGTCCATGACGTTGATTCATTTCATGCAGTTTACAGTCACGGGTTTGACGTCGATCTGGGACTTAGGGCAGAAAGATTGGGCACTTCCAATTATAAACCTCCCCCTAAACAAATGGGACTCTTTAAATGTGTTGCCCTTGCTGGCTTGGTGTCGCAGTGTACTGTGCTTTCTCTTCAGCGATGATAATTATTACTCTTTGAGATTTTTTGTTATCCCTGTTGGACAATTGCCTCGATTGCTCAATCCTGGTGACATTGGTGTTTCATTTATTCTGAAGGTTGTCATTGTTGAAGCCATCTGGCCTTAATTTAAAGAATCCTTTCGGTTTGTGCTGCTTATGGAAAGGCTAGGTTGGAATGCGTAATATGTGTGGATTGTTTAAGCTATTTTAACCCTTAAGTCTTAATATGGTAAAGGGTAATATGCAGACTATGTACTGCATCTTAGTGCGGAAGCTGACACCGCCTACACTCAGATGCTGCTCAGTGGATTTTAGGAAGGGGCAGACAGGGTGTTGCTGACATTGAAATAGATGCTTATTATTTTTCCCTGTCTTATTTTTTGTTTTTTTCCTTCAAGGAACAAACCAAGATTGCTAATTTGAGGGACACAATCCACTCTGCCCAGCACTTTGTAAGAAAGTTGAAACTTCTCTCTAAGGCACATTAAACCCTGCTTTTTGTGGAGTTTAATATTGGTTTTGGTTTACAACCCATTCTGGTGATTAAGCAGCTATGCAGCTTGAAATCCAAGTAGCACTCAACTTTATTATTTCATATTTGTACAATAAACTCCCGAGGCGCCGGGTGAACATCTTTGGGGAGGAGCTGGAGAGGCTGTTGAAGAAGAAATACGAAGGTCACTGGTACCCAGACAAGCCATACCGGGGCTCGGGCTACAGGTGTATACACGTTGGAGAGGCCATCGACCCTGTGATTGAGCAAGCTGCCAAAGAGAGCGGCCTGGACATCAAGGATGTTCGTGACAACCTGCCTCAGGACCTCAGTGTCTGGATAGACCCCTTCGAGGTGTCTTATCAGATTGGGGAGAAGGGCCCTGTTAAGGTGCTGTATGTGGACGATAGCAACGAGCCTGGGACGGATTTGGACAAGGAAATCAAAAACAGCTTCAATCCTGAGGCCCAGGTGTTTATGCCGATCTGTGATCCAGTGGGGAGCTCCTCTGTGTCCAGCTCCCCTTCGCCCCCTTTTGGTCACTCCGCTGCCGTAAGCCCCACTTTCATGCCTCGATCCACCCAGCCTTTAACCTTCACCACTGCCACTTTCGCTGCTACGAAGTTCGGCTCAACCAAAATGAAGAGTAGTGGCCGGAACAGCAAGATTGCTCGCACCTCCCCCACCAACCTTGGCTTAAACATGAATAACCTGTTAAAGCAGAAAGTCATGTCCACATCCACTCACTCGCTCTATGGGCTTGGCGTGAGCAGCCAGCAACAGCAGAAGACTTCAGCCCTCTCTCCCAATGCCAAGGAGTTTATTTTCCCGGGCAGTCCTAGTGCAATGTTTCCAGGGGACAGTCCCCTGAACCTCAGCCCTCTGCAGTACGGCAATGCCTTTGACATGTTCACAGCCTATGGAGGGATCAATGAAAAATCCTTTGTGGATGGTCTGAATTTCAGCCTTGGTAACATGCAGTATTCAAACCAGCAATTCCAACCAGTTATGGCTAATTAAAAAGGATATATATATATAAATACAAACCAAGCCCTAATTGTAAACGTTTTAATGTACTGAACCCAGGGGCGTTACCTTCCCCCTTGAGATCTTTTTTGTTTCTAATTTTTAAAAAACTATTTGGGGATAAGCTTGTAGAACTTGATTGGTGCTTGGTTATTTAAAGCGACACGCATCAGTTTTTTTGCCAGCCAAGCACAAAACATATTTTATATGGACTCAACCTTTTAAAACAAAAGGAAAAGATCTGCTGAGACACAGTCTGACTTGCCCCTCTTACAGTATTTACACTTAAACAGGACTAAATGGGCAATGGAAAATTGGCACTAATAATAAACAGTGGGTTTCTGGTCTTTTTCTAATTGCATAATTTAATTTAGTATGAAGTTTGTAAAATATCAGAGTATATATATATTGTTTCTACAACATGGTATTGCATTTATATCTTTTTACTACTTCAGTGATCTGTAATGGCTATGACAGCTTGCGTTATTTTTCTTTACAAAGAACCTTGTGTAAAAAAAAATCGACATTCAAAAGCATCAAAACTACTCTTAAAGATTGTGTACAGAATATTCCCCAGTGGTGATGTTTAAAGTGTAGGAATTTCTGCTTTTTTTCATGAGAGTTGTATTTTCTGTTATGAGTTTTAAAAAAAGGAAAATTAATTTTTTTTGCATTATGGACAAATATGTAATCGTAAATATTAATTTTGTACCTACCTTGTGCAATACTTGATAAAAACCAGTAAAACAAAGTATTTTGAGTCTGTCTTACATGTTGAGAGGGACTCTGAGATAGTTTATATATTGATAAACGTTTGTATTAAAATGCTTCCAAAATTAATCTGTCGTTGTGGTCCTTTCTTTTATCTCTGTTTATTGGTCGCAATTTGAAGGGAACCGAGACTCCAGATTTAAAGACCGTTGAAGTGTTGGCCTGAATGGGGGGCCTGTAATTAGATTTTTTTTAAAAATGATGTCTGAAGATGGGGTATAAAACGCCTGGCATTAACCTTTATTCAGGAACAAGAGCATTCTGCCCTTGGCATTACAATGGTGGGTTCACTTTTGGGGAGAACATAGTTTTGATATTTTGGAGTTCAATTATTTATCAGGTGCTGCTGGGGGCTGCTCTTTTTAGCAGCACATCCCCTGCCCTGAGCATTGCAGTGGGGGCTGTGAGGGGCTGGGACTCCGTGCTGACCTCGGGGGCTACAGCCAGCTCCCTACTCAGATCCGCTAACTCGGCACAGAGTGGGCTTTGAACTGGGACCTTCCTGGTGTCGCTAGATAATGGCTGAGCCTTTGGGCAGCCGGCCAGTGTTTTCTTCAATAAAAGAGAGAGAGAGTGCTGACACGACAGGGCTGAGCTGGCCTCTGCCACTGGCTGCTCAATGCTCCTGATGCAGCTGAGACACATTGTCCTGAATATTCCATTGACAGAGCAGTGCAACCAACAGACAAACCCGCTCCTGCCGAGGGTCAACCACATTGTGACCTCCATATTCATGTCAAGTGGGCCAAGCCAGCCTGACCTTCTGTACTATTCATTGGTCTGATCAGTGCTGTCCCCTGAGTGAGGGTGGGGGGTGAGGGCTGTGGGGGGGACTGGAGTTTTATACCTCTGCACCTTTGATTATTTTTGAAAACTTCCCATCTTAAAATTGAAAAATTGCAGTTAACTTTGCAAAAGGTTTAGTGATGTTTTTGTACATTGCTATTCAGGGAGAATGGCCTCGTGTGGGGTGAGTGCTGTGTCAGCTGGTGTGGGAGCCTCTGGTTGCAGTGAGTTGGGTTGAGCAGGAGCCGGGTGAGATCGCAAACACTGGCAGCAGCGTTGGGCCCTTTTAGGGGCAGCACCTTGTGTTTGGTTTACTATTGTTTCTACAAAATGGCTGTGGCGCAAAGTCTGGACTTGGGGTTATTTGATGTGGTTTATGGAGGGGCCGATTGGCATTCTGCTCCTGTGTCACTGATCAGTGAATGTCCCAGGTTAAACCTCAGCCGGCTACCCCAAAGACGGAGGGTTTTGTAAAGTTTTAACCTGCAATTCCCCTCCCTCTCTCCAGCAGGTCAGGGCAAGCCTGTTTTTTGGGGTCAACTGGGTGTCTTGACACGTGCGGAAACCCATCATCATGTTTGTTCAGGGCCTCTCCTGGCTGAGTGGCTTCTCGTTCTGCTGGGCTGTGCAGGGTGGCGGGGAAGAAGGAAAGCAAGGCAGAGCATCTGTTTATCACACTGGGTCCTGCTTTTATTAATGTTTCCAGTTGATGACTTGGCTCAAGCGTCTGAAACACAGGGGGAGGATTGAAGCATGTAGGTTTTTTGGAGGAGGGGGTGGGAACAACTAGAGGTATGGAAGTGAGAGATGTGGTCCCTGAAAGTGTCTTGCGTGGTGTTTATTTATAGAGCAGCTGTCCTGAGGAACTAAATATACAATCAACAGGCCCTCACTCTGGTCTTTATTTAAGCTCTCCATATTTAGAACAAGGGAGATTGAGCAGCCGTGTTGTGCTCCCGTGACCTTTGCCTTTCTGGGTGGATCAGAAACTTGTTTACTGTTTCCTGCACCCCCCCAAACACACACAGGAGCTCAGGGCTGGCTCCTGGGGTAGGCTCTGTTTGGGGCAGCTCCATCGCCGTGGAGGGTGGATTTCCTGCACACAATTGCCACCCCCTCTGCTGCCCCTGTAATGTAACCCCAACTAGAACCCCAAACCTTCCCCTTTGACTGCACCTGTTCACCCGAGGGAGAATCTTTGCCCAATAAAGACAGGAATTGTTAGGCAAAAAAACAAGGTGCATCACATTCACCTTCTACCATCCTGGTCGTCGCCTGTCATAATAATGGAGGTGTTGATGGCAATTAGGGTTAGGTTGTGGAGTCCTGTGCGCAATTGGTTGCCGCGTTCGCCCACAAATATACGGTCAATTCACTTTACAGTCTATTCTGTGAAGCGATTTGAGACGTTTAGAAGATGTGAAAAGCGCTATATCAAATGCAAGGATTATTAATTAATCCTGAACGGATTAGTCTACAACACAATGGGAAATTTTGGGAACCTTAGATCCAAAGTTGCCTGGTTCTCCCCAACTGTTAGAGAAAACAGCCTAATGAGTGTAACTTGTGCTGAAGCTTTGCTGCTGAGGCCTCAAACAGATTTTATAGATGGCTTATCTCCCGACCTGGATACCTGCCCCCCACGCACAACCCCCCCCCCAGGTTTGCTGGCAGACTCAGCTCTCTGCTCAGGGAAGTTTGTGATGATTTGGGGTCAGTTTTTCACATGTGTTCGTGGTGCGTGGGGATATCATCCTGGGGGGGGGGGACCTGGGCCGCCCAGTGAGAGGCTGGGGGGCTGTGTCTGATTTGGGGGCTGCCAACTAGAATGTGCAGAGCTCAGGACTCTCTCTCCCCCCCCCCCCCCCACGCTCTCTGCCAGAGGTTAGGAATGTTCGGCAGCTGCTGTCTGAGAGCCAGACGGACATAGTTGCTCCTGATTTGGAGACTCAAAGCCAAATTCACTTTTTATTCATGTGTTTTTCAGATGAGCTGTGGTTAGCGATTAAAGCTGAGGGACACTCCCCCTCTCTCTATCCTGTCCCTCGCATTTCAACAAACACTCCAGTGTGGTGACTGTTTTTGTAGGTAAGTGTGGCAGCCATTTTGTCACACCCACCAATCAGCTAAGAAATGAAAGATAAATTGTGGGGACGATTGTTGACCAGGACAGTGAGCGAGAGAAAAAGTTCCTTCGCTTTTCCAACAGGATCTTTAACGTCCACCTGAACAGGGCACAGAAAGGAGCTCAGTTTAATGTTTCACCTGAAGCACCTCTGACAATTGCTCCCCCCAGCCTCACCCTCAGCTTTGCTTCCCCTGAATTTGAGCTTGGACCTGAAGCAGGGAGGCCACCTTACTCAGCTCTGCAGTCCCTTAATCAGAATGTCCATGTGTAAATGTGTTCCCGATTCCGGGTTCAGCATCGCCTCACTGCTCAGCCTTGAGATGAATCTTGCCCTTTGCCAGCCTCTCTCTCGCAGCCCTTTAAATCATTCATTCAGCAAACTAACCACAGCAGCGACCATGGAAAAACAAGAGTGATTAGATTTCCAAACATTCTCCACAGTCTCCGGTGACATCTGAGCGAGAGAGACAGCAAGCCCACGAGTGTCCTGGCCTCTAGGTAACTCGAGATGCTCCCACATTCAGGAGCAATTGTACCAGGGAATGGAGAGGAATTGTGATTCATTGTCACTGACTTAGGAGTGTGGACGCACAGTGTAGAGGAGCTTTACTGTGTCTCTAACCCTGACCTGGGAGTGTGGACACACAGTGTAGAGGAGCTTTACTGTCTCTAACCCTGACCTGGGAGTTTGGACACACAGTTTAGAGCTTTACTGTGTCTCTAACCCTGACCCTGGGAGTGTGGACACACAGTGTTGAGGGAGTTTTACTGGGTGTCTAACCTGTTGTGTAGTTTATGATGGACAGGTGTGTGCAACTGGTGGAAGTGCCGAGTGTGGGTGTAAATGGAGCTGGTTTACGCAGGGTAACAGCTGCTCTGGATGTTGCTGTGATATGAGTCGGCACCTGTGCTCATCAGTCACACAGCAACTGGCAGTGGCTCGTGTCGGGGCCGGAACAAGGTCAGAGCTAGTCCTCGCCACTGGTGCCAGGCTTGCAAATCCAGCTCATTATTGGCTGTGCCTCAGTGCTTCTTGTCCCCACCCCCAGCTGCCTTCTCCTCGCCTCCACCCCTAACCCAGCTCAATATGTCTTAACGTGGTCACAACAAAGCATAGACTCGAGGGGAGGGGGAACTCTAGATAATGATAATCCTGGCATTTGATACAACGCCTTATCACATCGTTGAGAAGTCTCAAAGCGCTTCACAGAACATACCGTAAAGTGTAGTGAATTGTGGGTGAAATGTGGCAGCCAATTGCGCATAGCAGTGTCACCCACAAACAGTTGTGGGTTGAGTGAACAAATTTTTGGGGGCGTGGGGGTTATTATTACTCCCGGAAAGCGATCTTCCAATCGACTAACAACCAGGTTCCTTCTTACAGCTGGTAAACAGAGCATGTGTGGCGTAAGGAAATTTACCTAAGGTTTCTCGTCGCCTGGGAATCGAACTCCGGTTCTCTCGCTTGCAAGGCGAGCGCTCTAACCACTGAGCTACAGGACCCCACCAGGGGGTGGTTCTTGAGATGGAGGTCAGGGCAAGACACCTCCGCTCTTTCCCCACCTCGCACTGCCTACACCCCCTCCTCCCACTTGACTGTTCCTCGCTGCCAGGTTGACCAGACAGGGGAGTAAATACGGGCCTGTCTGGTCTGGTGAAGGGAACGTTACTGGGGCCAAAACATCTGGTAACAGTTACTGTGTGTTTCACTGTCTCACTCGCTGGCAGCAGCTTCACACCGTGATCTCAACACAGGCATTAACTCCTCAGTGGCCAAGACCCCCCCCCACCACAGGTCAGGCAGCTTATACCCGACCCTCCCAGGCTCTGCGCTGGAGTTTGAGGTGAAGGGGCCACACTGCCTCCTTCCTCCCCCACCCCCCTCCCCCTGGGGCTCGAGTTACAGTGTCGCAAGTACAAGGCTCGGCCTGTGGGGCTGAGAGCAGCTCAACCCCAGCACCGCCTCGGGCAGGCGGACAAACACCTCCTTTCACAGAGAGCACAGGTCCAGTTTCTCCAGTGATTCCTGACTCAGACACTCATCAAACCGACTCTTCTTTTCCCCCCCACTCCGCCCTCCTGTCACCTTGTACAATGGCTGTGGCTGAGCTCCACATTGCTGTGTCGCTGTTTTGGCTAATCCACTAATCGCTCAGTGCTGATGTAGGTCGACCTCTGACCCCGCGCTGAAGACCAGCCGCCTGCTTCTGAATGACCCATTTGGCAGCTCGTGTCCCAGCCCCGAGCCACCCCTTCCCCACCAGAGCTCACCCCCTCACCCAGATCCCCCTCCCTCAAAATGAAGTAAAAGTAGTTGACAGAGAAGCCTGTCACTCTCGACCCGGACGTCTGAAGACCCTCCTCTTCCACCGCACCTTCACTCACCCTCCCATCCCCATCCTCCCTGCTCTCTACCCTTCCTGATCCCAACCCCCAACTCGGTTGCACATCCTGGACTGTCCAGCACCTTGGGATGTCCTCCTGACATGAAATCTAATTTGTTGTTCTCCCTCTTTCTGAATCCGTGCTTCGTTCTCTCTCTGTCATCTGTCTGTGTTTCTGTCTCAGCTTGTTTGTGTGTGTGTGTGTGTGTGTGTGTGTATCTCTCTCTCTGTCTGCTCGTCTCTCTTCGTTGCAGGCAGAACCTGATATCTGGATAGAGAATATTGGAAACCACAGTTGGGTGTGAGGTTGGAATCCAGAGGCTTGATGTCAGGGAGCTGAGATTGTTGCCAGTGTGTTTGTGGATGGGGGGGGTTCCTGGCTGCCCTACCCCCCGTCCTGTGCTGGTTCTGATATGACGTCACTGTGGGTCTGACGGATATATTTATCTGCTGAGGAAGTGTTGCTGCTATCAGTCAGTCAATCCTCACTTGTATTCACGCAAAACACCAAACATGGGAAGAGCAAGCTGTAAACATGAGGAGCGCAGGTTATTTATACACTGACAATAAACCAGCTCACACCGGGCTGCCCTGAGTAGAGAGTACAGTCTGCAGGAGGCCCTGCTCCTCGCACTTCTTCCCAGTTTTGTCCCTGGTTCCACAGCCTCCCCCTCTCCTCCCCGCAGAGAGTGTCAGCTCTCAGCCTCACTCCTGTTCTTACTGGACAGCCACACACAAACCTCCCATAGGAGCAACCAAGAGTGGGACCCCGGCTGAATGGCCCCTTCCCCTGGTCCAGCCACACCGAGGCTGGTTGTAGCCTTGGCTGAGGTTCTGTCCCTCGTTGTCTCCATAAACACGTGGAAATTGCCATGTGTTGATGGTACTCAATCTGGTTTGAATACTCTTAAGCACTGTGTTGGGTTTCCACGTGTAACAGACACCTGCCTGACCCAAAAAATCAGACTCTTTGTCTGTCTGTATTTGTTTGTTTGAATAATTTGACTTTCATTTTGAGATAATTTAGGTCATGGAGTGAGAGCTTATTTGACTGATTGAACGAGACTTTCTGTTCCAGACTCCAACAGAGCGACTGTGACTGTTTACAGGCGGTGGCGGCCCACCTGCACTCCGCGGAGTGTAACACAGCTTTGGTTTCTCTTTCCTGGACTCAAATTAAATTCTCACCCCACGTTATTCTCTATATAACCGCCCCCCAACCTCAGCTGTGACTGCAGTGAGTGCGTTATTCCATATCTGGTGGCTCCAACAACAGCAGATCACAGTTACACAGTGCCTTTCATGTCGGGAGGATGTCCCGAGGCTCTGCACAGTCAGGGATTTGGTTTAATGTATTTATTCTTCTGCAGTTGGCGCAGATAAGGAGAATCGTGTTGTTATTATGATGCAAACGGTCGAGCACTGCCCGGCGTGAAGGCGCTGTATAAATACAAGTTGTTGTTGTCATAATAATAATAATAATAATCCTCGCATTTGATATAGCGCTTTTCACGTCGGGAGGACGTCCCAAAGCGCTTCACAGAACACACTGTAAAGTGAATTGACTGTATATTTGTGGGCGAACGCGGCAGCCAATTGCGCACAGCAATGTCCCACAAACAGTCGTAGATTGAAAATGACCAATTTATTATTGTTTTTGTTTTGGAGGATTATTATTAGGCTCTGTGTGGAGTAAGGAAACTTGCCCAAGGTTTCGCCCTCTGCCTGGAATTGAACTCAGGTCTCTCACTTGCAAAGCGAGTGCTCTAACCACTGAGCTACAGGACTCCACAATAATAAACGAGGAGAAGGTCAAAGTAAATGGAGTCGGAGACCGCTGGAGCCGAGTCAGTCCCGGAGCCCCGGGGAGAGGACCAGAGGAGGAACCCGATCCCAACTCGGAACAGCTGCTCAGCTATGAGCCGCGGCCAATGGAGCTTTACTGCCACCTGGTGGGCACAAAGGGCACCTCAGTTGGCTTGACGGCATTCTCCGGCCACCGTGTGGCGCTGTTGGGCATTACACCAGCAGCAGCGTTAGATCCGAAGGCAATCCCACAGACACCGCCTCCACCGCGCGCCACAAACTCCGCGAATCTGTCAACGGATTAAATTCATATTTTCCATCTCCGGGAACTTTATACACGGCTGTAACTCACTGCGACACGTGCAGTTCCTCAAATCACCACCGGGGGCGGGAGGACCGGGGGCGGGGCGGGAGGACCGGGGGCGGGGCGGGAGGATCGGGGCGGGAGGACCGGGGGCGGGGCGGGAGGACCGGGGGCGGGGCGGGAGGACCGGGGGCGGGGCGGGAGGACGGGGCGGGGGGGCGGGAGGACCGGGGGCGGGAGGACCGGGGCGGGGCGGGAGGACCGGGCGGGGCGGGAGGACCGGGGGCGGGAGGACCGGGCGGGGCGGGCGGGAGGACCGGGGGCGGGGAGGGAGGACCGGGGCGGGGCGGGAGGACCGGGGGCGGGGCGGGAGGACCGGGGGCTGATTCTGCGCAGTTAGAAAAGGCGGGAAGGCACGGCCGGTGGAGTCGGTGAGTTATGGCGGTGGGAGGAGGAGGAGTCGCAGTGCGCCACTCGCGGCCCCGGCGGCGGCCCCACCAATACACGCGGAGCGAGTGACCAAATTATTATATATTTTGTGATAAATGTCAATTGTATTGTTTTAAGACAGTGTCGCGGCCTTTGTGTTTCAAGTGGGGAATCAGATGGGGACGTGAGGTGTCCCGACCGCTCCGCTCCGGTCTCTGACTCGCTCGATGTCACCCGGTGACTCGGGTTTGGTTTTGCCCTCCGGGTACCGACTCACACCCGCGGAGCTTCAGCGACTCGAACCCGCGGCGGCGCTCGGGGCCTCGGAACCAGAATCCCACTCTCGACAGTTGGAAAGTGATGAAGTTTATTCTGATTTTAATATCTCATTGTTACACAATTGCAGGAATGAAATGCTAAAAGAAAGTAGAAATAAATAATATTTACATTCTCATTCAAAAATTAGCCATAGTGATGCAGACTTTTTTTTAAATCACTTCTACACCAGGAGTTAGGTCTATTATTTAGGAAAATAAATGTTTAAAAATCTGTGGCTGCGGGTGAGCTGCACTTGTACCCTCACCAAAATTGTATTCAATGGTGAAAAAGTTGTGCCATTGACTTACTGCAACTACTGGTGTGAGTTTTCATCAAAAGAGCAAATGTGGATGTGTTAATCAACGTGTAATTTTTTTTAAAAAATAAGGGATTATTTCTACTCCTAAATTTGCAGTTGTAACTTTTTCCAACCTTTCTCCAGTGCCCCATCCAGCAACAGCTCAGCTTAGAGACAGTAAAGCTCGACTTACTGTCCACTAAACTGCCTCAGAGCATCTATCCTCAGTAACTAGCATTTAGTGGATATATCTGAACAATAGACAGCTTTGAGCTGTGGGCTCAAATCCCAATTCATTTTACACAGGTTCCTTGCCGCCATCAGACAGAATAATCCTTTTCCCCCTCAGTCTGGCCTAGGTTTGAGCTCAGGACTTCAAGGTCAGGAGGGTCAATGTGCTTTGCTAGTCCCCTGTTCCTCATTGAGTTTTATCTGTTAAAATGCAGGAGCCCAACCAATCTGCAGCCCATGGCCATTAAGAAATTTAGATCCCCTGATATAAGTGGCTTCATCAAAGATACATGCAGAAATAAACACCTTCAAATTGATTTAAAAAGCCGTTACAGTGCATTACAGATTAAGTTCTGCTGTGGTTAGTTTCAAAGCCAAATCACTGCTGGCTTCAGAGAGAGCATAGAACAGTGGCTAATATTATGCCAATCTTTTAATCTTGTTTAATTTATCTGGATTCCATGTCTTGTAGTGTGCTGTGTTAGGTGTGGTTTGTTTTTGGTGCTTTGTGAGAGTTCTGCTGGTTCTGAGATAGTAAAGGCTGAGGACTGTGTCCCCCAGTCTCCAGGCAGTGAGAGCTTCCACTGAACTCTCTTATCGTCCTGAATACAGCCAAGGGAAATAGCCATGTGTTTATTGATGTCTTCTTTTTTTAATTGGATGCATTTATTATTTAGATATTGGTTTGAGCAGCCATTTTGTGTGATCCCCTCCCCAATGACAATGGGCTGTGTGCATTGTGGATAGAGTCCACCCACCCTATTGAAGTGTGGGTGGGGCAGGTTACACAAAATAGCTGCTTCCCAGCTCCCCCCTGAGCAAGATTGTAACTGAGCGACACCAGTTAACGTACAGACATTGACATTTAGCACATTAAGGATTTGGGGATAATTCAGCCACAGTCCTTTCCTAGTTTCTTATCTCCCGCGGGCATGGCATTGTGTCACTCGCAGCCCCCCAATAGTTGCAGTCATCTCCCACAAAGGATCTTGTCAGTCACCAAAGACCTACTTACTGATGGCAGTAAGCAGTTACCAATCTAGGATGTTAAGTGCTTATTTAGTTAGATTGTCAAAAGTAAGGTTTCTCTCATCTGACTTTTCACAGAATGTATTTTCTTGTCTAAGGTTCTGTGTAGCTGTACGGATAACATGGCCCTAATGAAATCCTGTAAACTCCCGCAGCAGTTCACAGGTTTTCTTATCCTTCACTTCCTTCAGTTTCTTGGTGCGTCTCTCGTTGACAGTCCTGACAAAGCTGTGAGGTTGAAGGACAGCCATACCGTTGTGAGCATCTCCCATCACAATGAGGGGGCCATCCGCTGTGGTCATGTTAGGGCAAGGACACTGCCAGTCCATGTTTAACAGGGTGATCTCCAGTATCTTGCTGCCAAAGAACTGGAGGCCCATCTTTTCATCCTTCAGCACCTCGTGAACAGTGAAGAGAGCACGTCCTGAGTCCGTGTCCTCTGTCAGTTCAGTCATATGGCCAACAATGACAAAGTCACTCTTGCAGAAGCTGGTCACTATCTTGAAGCGAGGCTTACAGACCTTGCACTGCTGGCTCCTGGGGTACGGGCAGATCTCCTCGCATGTTTCTCTGCTTTCAAAGTTGTTCTCGTTACCGCCACAGCCGCCATAGATGAAGGATTGGCATTGCCTCATGAGGCTATTATAGGCCCAGCGGGGCTCCCATGCCTTGCAGGGGCCCTGTAGGGCTGGCAAGGTACAGATGTTGACCGGTTCGTTCATGCAGGTGGACATGCACTCCTCATACATCTCAAAGTGGTTCATATTGCCCTCACATTGGCCGTAGTTAAATGTGAAGCAGTTGTTTTTCTTGTGGTCGTAGTACCACTTGACCTGGGCTTCGTCACAACTCTCTCTGTCTGGCTGCTTTAAGCATTCCTCAGCGGGGATCTGAGTGGCATTCTGCCACACTAAGTCTTCCGTCTTGATGACAGACAGGGGGAAATCCGCCCGGAGTAGCCCCCCAGTGTTTCTGGCCGTGCAGGTGTAGATGCCAGCGTCCTGGAGCTGAGCGTTGTAGATGACCAGCTGCCCAATATTGGTGACCACCACATTGCCGTTCACGTGGTTTGGCCTCATTATGATATTTTCCCTCCCATCCAACTGCTTCTCCCAGGTGATTTCTGGCTTTGGCCTCCCGTTCACATCACACAAGAAGCTGACTGTGCCCCCCACGTACATGGACTGGTGACCAGGGTTAGAGAGGAGGGCGGGTGGGAGGACGTCCAGAGAGGTTGTAGGGGAATAGGCTGTTGTTGGCTGCTCGGTGGTTTCCAGTGGGATGGGGCTTGTGTTGGGCCAAATGAGGTGATATGTACAGGTAACCACAGTCAGCGTGATCCCTTTAGTGCACGCCTCCGCATCCATGTAACACTTGTTGTAGTAGGTCAGGCCATCGGAGGCACAAGTGAAATGGGGTTCCTTCTCACAGCGCTCCTTGCATTTGCACACAGGCTGTCCATCCCAAATGTCACACTCGGAACCCTGCTGGGTGCACATGAAGCGGTCACAGTTGCCACCCACAGGCATCCCCGAGGGTCCTTTCCTCCCCTTGATATCCATGTACCTGGCCGCCACACAGCTCTTCATCCCGCACACGTTGGGGCAGCATTTCTCAAACGTTTCACAGTCCTGAGAGAGAAGTCAAACTTATCATGAAACCTGCTTTAGGAAACTCCAGCATCTCAACCCAGACACTACCTTCTCTGGCAACATATTCCACACAAGTACATTTTGTGATGGGCATTTTTTCTATCCATCTACACTCAGGTCCACACTCCCAGGTCAGGTTTAGAGACACAATAAAGCTCCCTCTACACTGTCCATCCACACTCCCAGGTCAGGGTTAGAGACATAGTAAAGCTCCTCTACACTGTGCGTCCGCCCTCCCAGGTCAGGGTTAGAGACACAGTAAAGCTCCCTCTACACTGTGCGTCCACACTCCCAGGTCAGGGTTAGAGACACAGTACAGCTTCCAATGTTATGAAAATTTTGTTGAATTATGTAAATGTAAATTTATTGCTGTTGAGCTCTCTGTATGCTTGGGAGAGGAATGTTGTGGTGCGCTTGCCTCAAGAGGCATTCTTACCCTCGACTGTGACAGACAAAGAGAACAGAAATGTTTATCTTTTTCTGTCTGTGTTGGATCTGGAGTTGAAAGGTGCGGTGACCACACCTGACAGCCAGTCCAGCTGTTCTGTGTTTGTGTGTGTGTGTGTGTGTACATTATATACATCAAATAAATGTAATGTATATACAAACCCCCACAGAATACAGGATAAAAGTGATGGGAAATTACGTAATCTCTAAAAATGTTTCCATTTGTTTTTATTAGAAATGTGTTGATAATATTTAATATCAATGTTAAAGTGAAGTTATTCATGGACTTGTTCACTCCACACACACAATCCAACAACAAACAACAAACAGCAAATTACATGTGTATAGTGCCTTTAATGTCGGGAGGATATCCCAAGGAGTTGGTTTCGATGGTGGGTACGCTTGTTTTCCCAATCCCAACTTTTCCTGCTTTCTCTCCAACAAAGAATACTTTTGTTATGTTTTGTTATATTTATGTTCCCTTATCGCTAATTCTCATGGCCAAAAGGTCCAGCTCATTCCTGAATTTTCCTCAAACAGATGTTATAGGGAAACCCAGGAGTGATTGCTGTGGCTCAGCCTCGCTGGGTATCATCAGCCATTAATTATGATCCTTGCCAGGGCCACTCAGCTCTGTTTCCGTTTTGATAAAAATCGCGAAAAGTATGATTGAGAGCGAGATATTGATGGTAAGCTTCATGTCTAAATTATTCTAAAACATTTTGTGAGCTTTTCTGAAAATAATTCCAGTCTAGGAAAGTTCTGCTGACATTTTATACCACACGGCAAGATACAGGCAAGAATTTAACTTTACAAAGAGAAATTCCCAGCCCAGGAGCCGAGCTTCCAGGATATCAAAGATCCCAATAACAAACTAGCAATATACTGTTTGTCTACAGAACACAGAGTCAGTACACTTTATAGTGAAGCCTATGAATCGCTTTGGGACGTATTCCCGAAGTGAAAAGCACTGTATAAAATACAAAGGTTATTAATAAGCGTTTACTGTATACCTGCTCCTTCACAGAGAAGCGATTTGGAATAAGGCTTTTCCAAAGAAGAAATGAGTGAGTTTCTGTTACCTGGTCAGTCTCACATTCCCGGGAGCAGGTGCTCTGAGCGTCCACCCAAAGGCTGGGAGTCATTTCGTTGGGACAGATTCCTGCGTGAGAGTACTTGATGCGAGCCACGGCCACATTTTCCACGAGCATCGGCAGAAAGAGAACCATCAACATCGCTCTCAGCGCCATCCATCTCCACCGGCTCCACACGGTCCAGCCCATCCTGCCTCGGAACAAGGATTAGAATTATTTAATTATGTGTAAAAAATCAGAATAGAGAGTCTGAAAATTCACCTTTCACTCTGCCTGTGCCTCTCTTTCTCTCTCTCTCTGCCTGTCACTCTCTCTGTCTGTCTTGTATGTCTGTCTCTCTAGGTTCTGTAAGAAGCTCCCAGAACGGGTAGTTCCCAAACAGGAATGCACAGGATTATTGAGTGTTAGCTTCCAGTGATTTTTCAGAAACACTAATAGTTAATGAGATTTGCTGACCCCTATTTATACCCTGCTCTCTGAAGTAGCTGTCTGTAAAACGCTTGACTGTTTTTTTGACCCACACACGCCCAGGCTCCTGGTAACAGCAGCAAATTGGGGCTGTAAAAGTTGTGAACAGTTTCAACACCTCTGAGCAGTTGTGGGTCTGGCCCAGGGCTGAGCTGGGATACCCCTGTGTAACACACAGTCATTCTCTCCAGATGAAATCTAATTCCCTTCCATTTCCCACAGGAGTCCTTTCCTCAGACATGGCTAAAAATTGTATGTTTGGTTTAGAACATATAGGCAGTCTGCAGGAGCAGCTCTGTGTGCAGGACAGAATCGCAGAGAACGATACCAGGTCCCGTCAGCTGGTAGGAAACCAGCTCATAGTCCGCTGTCTTGTCCATTAGATTTGCTCCAAGTACTGCAGAATTTCCAGTATATTACAGGGCGACTGACAGCGAGTGGCGTTAGATATTTGACTACAGGGGTCACTGGATAGCTGGGGGGGTAAGAGAGTAACCCTGGGGTGGGGCAGAAAAGGAGAAACCGGATAGGATTTTCATAAAGGAACTGCATAAGTGCCTGGAAATAAAGAGGATCCAGGGTTATTAGATGATCAAAGAAACGTGTGGGAGGAATGGTTTGGGACTTTGGATGGAGTGAGATAGAGTGATGCCTGAGTTTAATGTTAAGTCACAGACAATCTCAGTCCCATAAACAATCCTCAAAATTACAACCATTCCTGATCCTTCTTGGTGTCCAGTGTAACGTGAGCTACTTGTACCCATTCCTGTGGCAGCCTGGGAGTGTCAAGCCTCAATAATGAGAAGTCTGTTGTGTCAGAGCAAATGGACAAATATTAGACTCAAAATAATTTGCATCACGTGGACGCTATTCATCTCTCTGTTCTCTCTGTCTATTTCTACTCTCTCTATCTCATTTCCTCTATCTCGCCTCCTGCCTGTTTCATATCAGTTCCTGTTGGTCTCCAATACTCGATGTCTCATATTTCACAGTGCAACATTTCAGAGCTGTTTTTTTACTCTGTTGCCATGGACACGGTTACTTTAGCTGGAACACAGTAGGCCTTGTGACATTCCTGCTGCTTCCTGCCCAGGGCCCAGGAGCACCAGGCAGTGTCTGTTGCCTCTCGCAGCGGGGCCTGTCAGCTGAACAAGCCTGGGCCTGATTATTCCCCACACATTCACTGCTCTTTGTGTTAGAGGCTCGCATGTCCTGTTGGCTGTTTGGCTTCCCCTTCACAAGTGCCCCCTGTTTCCTGCGCCCCCCACATGCTCAGCGCTCCGCACAGCACCAACAAGTCAGAACAGCGGCCTGTCAGCCATTGAGTAACAAACCAGCTCCATCGCCTGGGGTTAGGGAGCCACAACAGGCCTCACACTCTCAACACAGCCATTGTCTGACAGCAGACCTTGACATTGACCCTGCTCTCATCAAATCAGACTCCATCACAAGGGCACAGTTGATGGCGTGCTGACACTTGGGGTCTTAGCGTGACAGACTGCTATGTTCTGCAGGCACTGACTCCAGAACCAACTGAATGTCTGCAACACCCAGCAGGAGTTTTTCATCAATTGCACTTTATGTTCCAACCCATCAGAACCTCTTTCAATGTTTCGTATTGGAGTGTGAACAAGTCAGCAATACAGAACGAAAACTCCCCCAGTTGCTCAATGGCTAAATCCACCATGTGACAGCTTCAACAACAGCGACTTGCACTTATATATATAAATGCAAGCGCTCTGGGACGCTACCACACGTGAAGGGCGCTATGTAAATTGAAGTTGTATATGTAATGTCCTTTATCCTTATAGTGGAAGGTAGAGTTCCTAATGTTAGTGACGTGCATTATTTACAGTGCACTTATGAACACCAGCACTATCTAGGAGCAGTGCCAGACCCGATAGTGCAGGGCAGCTGGAGTAGTACTAGTAGATACAGTCAGTGTAGCTCAGATCCAGAGTAAATCTTCAAGTCCACTGTTCTGTACTTCACCATCCAGAGGTCAGCCCCGGGACTGAAACACGCTGGTCCTGGACAGGGCTACCTGTCTCCTGCCTCGCCCACATCTCATGTCAACTCCCAAGAGTGACGTCCGGGGACAGCAATGTACCTGTCTCGTGCTCAGCCAGTATCTGGAGGAGGGAGACTGGGTTTGGGGGTAAGGAAAGGAAATCATTTGGTAAATGTGTTGAGGAAAGTAACTAAAATAGGAAATTTAAAATGTAATTTTATTTCTCCACCAGTTGCCATGGACACGGTTACTTTAGCTGGAACACAGTAGGCCTTGTGACATTCCTGCTGCTTCCTGCCCAGGGCCCAGGAGCACCAGGCAGTGTCTGTTGCCTCTCGCAGCGGGGCCTGTCAGCTGAACAAGCCTGGGCCTGATTATTCCCCACACATTCACTGCTCTTTGTGTTAGAGGCTCGCATGTCCTGTTGGCTGTTTGGCTTCCCCTTCACAAGTTCCCCCTGTTTCCTGCGCCCCCCACATGCTCAGCGCTCCGCACAGCACCAACAAGTCAGAACAGCGGCCTGTCAGCCATTAAGTAACAAACCAGCTCCATCGCCTGGGGTTAGGGAGCCACAACAGGCCTCACACTCTCAACACAGCCATTGTCTGACAGCAGACCTTGACATTGACCCTGCTCTCATCAAATCAGACTCCATAACAAGGGCACAGTTGATTTGCTGCGAGCCTGTTCAGTCTGCTGGAGTCTGCTGATTTATTGAGCAGTCTCATCCCCAGCTCTTTATTATTTTTCCGATTATTCAGTTTTCTCACTGATTTCTCTTCTGAAGGTGCCACTCAATCACTGGATCAACTGATCCAGCATTGCCCCCAGAACGATCCTCACATTGAGCTCAGTGCTGGCAGGGGTTCAAATGTGGCGAGTATTACAGCCAGAAGCTCCCCTCTCCCACAGTCACAGGACCAGCAAGACTCTGGACACCATGTGGTATTATGGGATCTTTAACATCCACTGAAAACAGGTGGACCTTAATTTAAATTCTCATTGATTAGATAGTCCAACACTCGCCCAGCATTGCCCTGGAGTTTCAAATCCTAATGTGTGTCTCCGGTCTTACAACCTTCTGCCCAGTGGTGGGGGATGTGGGGTTTGCTACTGCCTGACCTGCACTTGACACCATTGTGTCCTTGATTCCAAGAGGAAAGTTCCTTTCAGGTCTTGCATGATTGCTGCCGCGTCCCAGTTTTGTGGAACGTTCTCTAATCTGATTGAGTCGTGTGATAGCCTGATGTAGGGTACAAACTGCCCTGTCCGACAGGGGGATTAGTGCAGCGGCCTTTCAGCCTATCTGGTCTAGCACCAAGGACTTTCTCAGCAAAATTTTATGAGCTTACCAGAGGTCAGCACCAAAGGCCCAAATAATCTCCTTATATGTCTGTAGACATATAAGCAAAATCACGAGATTGGGCTGGAACATTAATGGGAGGCTGCAAGAAGGTATTTATTCAGTCAACTTTCATTACCCTTTCCCCCCCCCCCCCCCCACCACCACTCACCACACACACGTGGGGTGTGAAATTTAGGAATTACTTTGTGATTGGCTGCTGTGGGAGGGTAGAAAATGTCTAGGCAGTGGATTTGTGATGACAGAGGGAAAGGAAGACCTGGGCTTGGTCACTGAGGACCTGACTGCTCAAAGTACCTCATTCAGCCAGTCTGAGGGATGCTTTCCCTGCTCCCCCCCTCATATAGAATACTGAGTAGATGTATAATCAGTCTCAATGTCAGCACCTCTGTGCACAGTACACATTGTGTAGCACAAATTTAATGTAATAAAAATAATCTTTGCATAATAAACGTCTTCAGGACGTCTCAAAAAGCTTCACAGAATATACTGTAAAGTGAATTGACTATATTTGTGGGCAAAATGTGCCACAGCAGTATCCCAGAAACAGTTGTGGATTTGAGTGACCAATTTATTACTTTTTTTTGAAGGAATTATTACCTGGAACAGCAATCCGCCAATCGACTAACAACTGGATTCCTACTTACTGCTCGGTAAACAGAGGCGTGTGGAATAAGGAAACTTGCCCAACATTTCGCCCTGCCGGGAATTGAACCCAGTTCTCTTACTTGTGAGGCGAGTGCTCTAACCGCTGAGCTACCTGACTCCATATGTATACCTACAACTTGTGGCACTGCATCTCATATGCTTGACCAATTCAGGCTTTGGCTGCAGGGCACTGAATAATGTCCAGGAGCCAGGCAGCTCAACTTGCCTTTGTAAGTAGGTAAACACCTGAAAAGAGTTTCACAGAGACAGAGTGAGAGCCTGACGCTGTTGGAAAAGATGTCTTGGCCAACGATCCTTCAGATTAATTGCTTGTTCGCCTCATGTCTGTTTGTGGGACCTGGTGAGATTTTTGTACACAATCTTGCCAGTTTGTACATTGGCGAGATTGTGTACAAAAATTGTCAATTATTGAGAGTATTTATCTGTGAAGCGCTTTGAGATGTTTTGGTATGATAAAGCACCACCTCCAACAACAACTTGCATTTATATAGTGCCTGTCACGCGAGGTAACATTCCAGGGCGCTTGACCGACCCTGAGCCAGGGGGAGAGGGGAGGTGACCATAAGCTGGATCAAAAAGCAAGGTCTTTAGGTGGAATTTGAAAGTGGGGAGGGAGGTGGCAAGGCCGAAGGATTGAGGGAGTGAGTTCCAGAGTTTTGGGGCATAGTGACTGAAGGCATGGCCACCAATGGTGCAGTGGAGGGGATGTGGGATGAACAGGAGGCTGGAGCCAGCTGAGCGGAGGCAGAGGTGGAGGTGAGGGGGTAAGCAAATTGGGGAGGTACGGAGGCTTGAAGGAATGAATGGATTTGAAAACGAGTGAGAGGATCTTGAAATCGATCTGTTTGTATTGGGGAGCCTGGCAAGGACTGATGTGATGGAGTGCAAGCTCCTTTTTTAGAGAATATACAACAACAACAAAATTGCATTTGTATAGTGCCTTTCACGTTGGGAGGACGTCCCAAAGCGCTGGACAGTCAAAGTTTCAACACCATTTGGGGGTCAGGATCGGGAAGGGTGGAGGGCAGGGGTGGGAAGCAGGGTGATCGAAAGCACGGTTGAAGAGGAGAGTCATGAGATGGGTCTTGAAGGGGGCAAGGGAAGAGGTGAGGCGGAGGGACTGTGGTTTGGAGTTCCAGAGGGTTGGGGCAGAGTGGCAGAAGGCCCACCCACCAATGGTGGGGCGGGCGAGGTGGGGGACGTTAAGCAGGCCGGAGCCTGCTGAGCAGAGGGAGGGGGCAAGATGGTAGAGGATTAGGAGGTCACAGAGGTAGGGGGGAGCAAGACCATAGAGGGTTTTGAAGGTGAGGAGGATCTTGAACTGTTTGATGGGAAGCCAGTGGAGTTGGGTGAGGATGGGGGTGCTAGGGTCATGGTGCCTAGTGCGGGAAAGAACATAGGCTGCAGAGTTCTGGATGATCTACAGCCTGTGGAGGAAGGAATTAGGGAGGCGGACAAGCAAGAAGTTTGCATAGTCGAGCCTCGATGTAATGAAAGTGTGTATGAGGGTTTCGGCGGTCTGCGATGAGACAGTGCTGGAGCCGGGCGATGTGGAGGCGGGGGAAGGCAGACCAGGTCAAGGCACAGATGTGGGGTAGAAAGGATAGTTCTGGACTGGCTTAGCAAAGTGGAGTGTGCAACCATGGATGGTGATGCTGTCAGCGCCTGAGGTGAAGAGATACTGACCGGAGCCCATCAGGAGACTCTTGCTTTTGTTGATGTTCAACTGAAGAAAGTTCGCTGTCATCCAGGACTTGATGTCTGACAGACATTCTGTCAGGACAGCAGTGGGTCCTGGAGTCGAGGTTGGAGGTAGAGAGAGAGAGTTGGGTGTCATCCACATACATGTGGAAGTTGATCGCATGTCTCCGGATGATGTCACCAAGAGGGAGCATATAGATATTGAAGAGGAGGGGACCAAGGACAGGGCTCTGAGGAATACCTTCAGTGTATCAGCCCCAAATGAGTGAAAGTATTCAAAACTCAGACCCTCTTGATTCCAAGTCCAATGCTGCCCAGCGCAGCACAGACTAGGAGAAACCAAGGTGGGCTGATCTCTGCCCAATCAGCAGTCATGGCTATCATCGCCTCGGATTTCCACGATTGGACAGGAGTAAAATCACACAAGATCCCTGCTTGCTCCTTATCGATAGCCACAGATATCCCTCCTAGAGAATGTATGTAGATTGAAGCTGTGATACCCCCACAATTGAATATCCTGCTGACACTTGTTATCCAGACACTCAGGGCAAGGGAGCGGAGGGAGCCCTGGAAATTTGTCATCCACTCCCCTCCCCCCAACCAACCCCCCACTCGCCACCCCCCTGCATAAACCAGCACCCTCAGGGGGAGGAAATGTTATCTGCATTTTCACTTGTCCGCACATTATGCTAAGCTGTTCCCACAGGAGATTAGTTTTCAGTCAGTGGCAGAGGAATAAGAAGTATAAGTATGAATTTGTGTAATCTTATTACGGTGCCTGTCTTGGGCCGTGGGAGGAAGCCGCAGTGTGCAGGAGCTGAGTGGTAAGCTGATTCCCAGACTCCTGCCCACATCAAAAAGGCTGTTTGAACCAAACCCAACTATTCCACACAATCATCTGGACTTGTATCGATATCTGCTGAGCAATGGCTTCAGCATTGTGGTGGACCATCTGGTACAGGATGCTGTCACTGTGTTTGGCAAGTCTCTGGGATTCAGAGCATCGTGGAGCCCGCATGCTCCCCAAGGTGTGATCATGCTGAGGGTTGTTTCCATGGGCACCCAGAAATCAGCCTGAGCCCAGTGAATGATTACATGTGTGGTGTCCCAGCCAAGCCCATGCTCAGCCGCTTGCGACATACATCTTGCAATCTGGGTTCTCTGCATAGTTGTCAGTAGTAGTTGTCAGGCCGGGGCCTTTCCTGATCAAGAGATCAGTAACTCAGAATGGACTGGGGATGAGCCAGAGACCTCGCTCTGTGTGCCCAAATTATACCCTGGGCAGTAACTTCATCTGCTGAGCCACTGGTGGTGAGGTCTGTAGTGCTCAGCTTGCTTAGTGTATGCCCCCCCCTTTCACTGGCCAGGACACACTGCTGCTGTTACCCTCAGTAACTCCAGCCATGTTTGGGGTGCTCAATTTGCTAGCTCATGTCTGTAAATCCTGTATTTGGGACAGGAGAGTGAAATAAATAATTAACTGCATTTGTTAAAATCATTTATTGTAAGGATTTAGTGTAAATAGAACCTGTGCAGAGTATTTGCCTCTTGCTCTTATTTATCCTCAACTTAGAAATGGGCTGAGGCCCAGTCCGGAACTCGTGAAAGGTGACGTTTCTGTGTCAGAGGAGTGGGGAGCAAAATGGGAGAGGGGAACAATTGCAGGGACACAAAGCAGTGGGACAAGAGAAATGAGCAGTCCAGCAGTGAACGGAGGGAGTGTTCAGGCTCTAAGGCTGTTCGGGGCTGGCAGAATGAGAATCACAATAAGGAAGCCTCTTTGTGCAGCAGCTTTTAAGCAATCGTCTGTGATTAGGAGTTGGATAATCTGCCAGGGATCACAGTGCTGATCACACTTGCTTTCTTACAATGGGACGATTGTTCGGGGCTGGGTCTTGTGGCAGTTGCAGGCTTTCCAATGTACCTTATGTATAGCACAGACTCCTTCATAGTCTGTCCCCAGTCAACGCATAATGGCAGCTATGGTATCTTCATATAGACTGTGATCTTGAGCCAGGGGTGCAGGATGTGACACTGGTTAGTACTGTCATCACACCAGCTGCCCTGGGTCAACACATGACTGAATCTGAAAGATGAACTCTTTAATTCATTGATTGTGGATGTGAGAGATAGTCACTTGTTCACTATGACAATGTTTGCCCAATTCATGGCTGGTACCTCCCATCCCCTGCATTGGGAGGCAAGGTGGATGCTCTATACCAGACCACATTATAATAATAATAAATTATCATTATTAAACGTTGCTGGGTTAGACCCTCCTTTGTGACAGGGTGGCATTGCTCAGGATGGGGTTGATTGTAGCAGCATCCAAAGCTGAATAACTGGCTCCTGAATCTTCAAGCTCTGCTATCACTGACCTGGGCATGCTGGATGGACAGTGTAGTGCCTTACCCTCCTCTTCGATCTTGCCTTTGGTCACCCTCCTAATCCCAAACCCCAGATCAGGTCCAAATCCCTAACTGTCCAGTGCCTTCGGACGTCCTCCCGACGTGAAAGACATTGTGTAAATGTAATTTGTTGTTGTTTACACTGGATCTAACCTGTACTGTTGATGACCTGGGAGTTGTGAATGAGATCCCTAAAGCTTCTAGTAGCCAGATACTTGGGAAGCCAAGGAGTGAGGATTAAGAGTTGTGTAGAAAAGATAGGGAAATGGGATTAAAAGATCTGGCATGATCTAATCAGGTAGTACAGGCTTGATGGCCTCCGGTGCCTATGTTAATAATAATAATAATAATCCTTGCATTTGATATAGCGCTTTTCACGTCGGGAGGACGTCCCAAAGCGCTTCACAGAACACACTATAAAGTGAATTGACTGTATATTTGTGGGCGAACGCGGCAGCCAATTGCGCACAGCAATGTCCCACAAACAGTCGCAGATTGAAAATGACCAAATTATTATTGTTTTTGGTTTTGGAGGGATTATTATTAGGCTCTGTGTGGAGTAAGGAAACTTGTCCAAGGTTTCGCCCTCTGCCTGGAATTGAACTCAGGTCTCTCACTTGCAAAGCGAGTGCTCTAACCACTGAGCTACAGGACTCCATGTTAGTCCTAGCTCTTTAACGCTGGATGTGCACTCCTGGTACCGGAGCCAGTGAGCCAGCTCAGGGCTGCCTGGGATACTCTACTTGTCCTTTAGAATGTCTTTAGGCAGCTGCATGGCAGGGATTTGGTTTAGGAATAAGTAGCACCATGTTCCTGAGCTATAACGGATTAGTTTGGAATACCCTCAACATGCTGAGTTTGCTACATTCCGGAAATAATAAAACCGAATTAAAGCAAAGCATTTCAATGATCTTCTTAGAGAGAACAGCCTGTGCCATCCCCGGGCTGGGCTCTGCCACCACCCCAGCTCCACACGCAACTCCTAGGCAATATCCCAAGAAAGTCACCATGAGGGGAATCGGGTTCAGAAGGTCCAGGATAAGGAGGGGCGATAGGTCCCATGTGAATGAATTCTCTACCGACTCTCACTGCCTGGACGCACACTGAAGAATGGTCATTGGGATAAAGCATTGCAGATGCAAGAACTAGATAAGAAATATGTAAAGGGAACATTTGAGTATGTGTGAACAGGCGTGTTTGTGTCTGGACACAAGTATGTTCCGCATGTGGTGCGGAAGAACAACATATTTGCAAATCATTCAAGATAAATCAATCTTTGCAAATTCCCCGCAAGCAACGTGGTGACTGGGGCTAATACCCCTATACTGAATGTGTGTGTGGGGGCGGGGGGTGGTGGAGGCTGTAGATGCAAAACATTACATTTCTGTGATCAATTTAGTCAGACATCCCCAATCAACACTAAAACTCACTGTGAGAACACTGGAACAGCCGCTTGGCGAGGTAGACAGTCTGTGTACACACATGCCCACACAAACACCATCACAAACTTGTGCTCATACACAGCAAGTCAGATCTACCAACTCTTTATTCTATAGTAATATACAAGTAATATAATTTGTTAGTCCAATTAATACATTTAAAAAATGCTTCTGATGTAGAATATCAAATTCATGAGAGAAAATTGACGTAAATAGAAAAATATTAATCTTTAGATGCACAGGTTTAGTCAGTGTTTGGCTGGCTCACTGCTCCCACTCCGATCACCAAATAGAAGACCTTGGTTAAAGATTGAAGCTGGGGCTCGCTGCCAGTAACGAGTGGGGAAACTGCTGAGCCAAGAAATCAGAGGACGATGAATAATGTTGCATCTCCCGCCACAGCAGACAAACTGAGACAAGCTCTCCACCTTTAGCAGATTAAAAAGCAGAGTTTGTGTTTACCCAGATTCTGACAGTAAATACTAACAAGTTTATGGGAGGAAATGGCAATGACGTTCTGCTAACAAAGCTGCGGCTCCCAAACGCAGCAGAAAATTCTGATTTAACTCACGCACAGACACCACCAAAACACTGTTAATTGATTAATTAAAAAACTGTAGACTTTTTACTAAGTTGCTTCTTTGTGAAGTAAACGTTGACAGCATGCTAATCTTATTTAAGCAGTGGGAGACTCAGCCCTGTGTTTTGAAGGGCAACGATCAGCCAGGATTTGGCATTCCTGAGTGCTAATTTAGAGACAGCACCTTGTGTGGAGACATTGAGCGAGGACAGGATTGAGGCTGTGATGGACTGTGGCGCTGGCACTCACTCTCTAGGCTACACATGTAGGTGTGTGGGATGATGTTTTGGAACAGGATTAAAATGGGAGATGGGAATCTGAATTGAGTGAGGGGCAGAAAGCTTGGCCAAAATGCTGCTGAGTAAAGTTAGTTGTGCTTTTTCTCTAAAAAAGGTTGTAACCTACGAGGAAGTTAAGAATGACCCAATAGCCCCTGAAGAAAGGAACCATTTGTTTTTGTGCCACCAGATGCTCATCGTGGTCATCTCGCAGCACCTGAGCACTCGTGGGAAGGGCACAGGATTTAACACAATCACAAGTTGCAGTTACACAGCTGAGGGAGCAGGGGGCGCTAGTAGGTCAGACCCGCTGCTTTATAGTTGTAGCAAGGCCTCTCTGTTAGTGCACGAGGCGCTGAATTTGTGTTTGTGTCCATCTTGTGCAAGACTAGCTCCAGCTCCTGGAAATCCTGCAGCCTCGCCACCTCCTTATCCTGCCGAAGAGAAAAGATTTCAGTGAAAAACACTGTAAACAAATTAGATTTAAAATTTTGTGTTACGAGACAACAGGATGATTTGAATATTAATAATCCTTGCATTTGATATAATAATAATCCTTGCATTTGATATAGCGCTTTTCAAGTCGGGAGGACGTCTCAAAGCGCTTCACAGAACACACTGTAAAGTGAATTGACTGTATATGTGTGGGTGAACGCGGCAGCCAATTGCGCACAGCAATGTCCCACACACAGTCGTAGATTGAAAATGACCAATTTATTATTGTTTTTGGTTTTTGGAAGGTTTATTATTAGGCTCTGTGTGGAGTAAGGAAACTTGCCCAAGGTTTGGCCCTCTGCCTGGAATTGAACTCAGGTCTCTCACTTGCAAAGCGAGTGCTCTAACCACTGAGCTACAGGACTCCACGATATAACGCCTTATCACATCTTCCAGACGTCTCAAAGCACTTCACAGAATATACTGTAAAGTGAATTGACTGTATATTTGTGGATGAAGCACAGCAACCAATAATTGTGTACAGCAGTGACCCACAAACAGTCGTTGAATGAGTGACCAATTTATTATTGTTTCTTTACTTGAGGGATTATTATCAACCGTGTGGAGTAAGGAAACTTATCCAACGTTTTGATCTGCCAGGAATCGAACTCAGGTCTCTCACTTGCAGGCGAGTGCTCTAACCACTGAGCTACAGGACTTCACATATTAGCCAAGGAATTGAGCGGATTAAGTATTGGTGTGAATGCGATTCCCGTAGAACGAGGTGTATTGGAGACTTGGTGGCTCCTGTATGCTCACCTTGCGCAGGTGAGTGTTGGGCAGTTTGCGGATGCGCTGCACTTGCTCAGGCTCCACATCCAGTTCCCGACAGCACACTCCCAGCAGGGCTCCGTATGTCAGCTGCCGACGATCCAATTCCACTTCGATGAAATCAGCATCTTGGACGGTGAGATCCTGGATCCGAACTTTCAGCACAAGCTCTGAGATCAGGTAGAAAGAATCAACTAGGAGGACAGCAGGGGCTAATGCTAAACATAATGGGTTTATCAAAACTTGAATGGCACTGAGTGTGACAACACAAGTTTCTGTATTGCTAAACAGCACAAATGCATTATATCCCTGACTCATTAATTTACTCCCCTCTTTTCTCCCCCCGCCTGTCTCTCTTCCTCTCAACCTCCAGAAGTCTTCCTACCTTGCATGTTGATAGGAAAAGCTCCAGTGAAGAAGAGTGGCTGAAATGTGGGCCCCAAATGTGGCCTATTCTGCTGCTGAAACAGTGTCTGGGGCATTGCTGGCATGCAGGTGCCAGGGGTCCCACATGGGACTGAGCTGACAACTGGGGCCATACACATCTCTGGTTGTGAGGAGGTCTTGGGATTCCCGTCTATCTGCCCATTCGGAATGGGTGGGTTTGCCAGGTAGTTGGGCACAAATGGCAGCATTGGCTCCTGGTTCGTATCGCCAAACGTCTCATTCTCACCTGTGGAAAAACATACAATGGAACTACCAAAATATAAATTTCTAATCCTGTCTGTGCTGGATCATCTATCTCAGCTAGGACAGTTGTAATTGGGGCTACAATCAGCCAGTGCAACTGACCTAGAGAGTCACTCATTAACTTGGGGTGAAAGCTACCTCAAGCAGTGTTTGACACAAGGGCTACTCACGAATGTTCCAACGCGTTGTATATGGAGTTAAGGAGCCCACTATTCCTACCAGGCATCCTAACACAGCGAGGAAAAGTACTGAATCCTGGCTCTTGTACCACCCCACAGAGAGCAGATAAATGGATACAACAACAAATTACTTTTGTACAGCGCCTTTCACGTAAGGAGGACGTTCCAAGGCACTAGACAGTCAGGGATTTGGACCCAAGCAGAATTTGGGAGCAGGAGGGGTGGAGGTCAGGGAGAGTAAGGGTGTGAGGGTAACCGAAGGCATGGTCAAAGCATCTTGAGTTGTACCTTAAAGAAGGCAAGGGAAGCAGCAAGGCAAAGGGACGGTGGGATGGAGTTGCAAAGGAGCCCTGAGAATATGAGACATGCCAAGGAGTTGTGGTTCAAAAGTGCCACCTGGTACCTGCAATGTGAGTATCTTTGCATTTACAGGGCTGTCAGGTTAAGGGGGAAACGTTAAGGGAGAGAAGGGCAGATAGAATAAAGCCTCACCCCCGAGCATCCTGCGGATCTCCGCCTTGGAAGTGAGCTGCTCTGCCCGCTCGCCATTTTTAGTAAGGATGTCTTTATCCGCCCCTTCGCTCAGTAAGTAGGAGACGAGGTGTCTGTGATTGCGTTTACAGGCCCAGTGCAGACACGTCCTGCAACAGAAACAAGACTGATGCCGAGGTTCAAGCCCCACCTCTCTCACCCCGTGCGGGTGCGGCCTTTACCCCCCGGGGTGGGGGGTGGGGGGGGGGCACTGTCTCTCACCAGCCATTCATGGGGTTCTGGGAGTTGAGTCGGGCGCCGGCGCTGAGCAACGTCCGAACCGCCTCCATGTCCCCGATAGTAGCGGCCTCCCGCAGCCGCTCCTCCCGTTCCCGCTCCTCCATCAGTCCCGAGGCCTCGATCCAACCCTCCGCTGCACCAACACTTCCGGCCGCGTATGGGGGACCGCCTTTCCAGCGACACCGTCTGAGTCGCGTTTTTCAGTTCCGGTTATTGGAAGGTTCCGGAACGGGAAGAGTGGAGAACAGTGATCAGGAATGGGAACATAACACTCAAACTTGCCGTGTTCATGGAGGAGTGAAATAATAGAATTATACAGCACAGGAGGAGGCCGTTCAGCCCATTGTGTCTGTGCCTCCTCTTTGAAAAGAGTTTCCAAATCAATCCCACCCCCCACTCTCTCTCCATAGTCCTGCAAACTTGTCCTTCCCAATGGTGGGACTGTGTTTCATTTTCCCTCTGCTGAATGCATTAACGTTTTAGTAATAAACTTGGTGTGATGTGCTTCCAGTTTGGTGGCCAAACCTCCAGTGTCACCTGTTCATGGCTGGTGAAGTGCAAGTTGTCCAATTCATTCAGCCATTGAGTTGCTTCAGGCTTTGAACCCATTTCACTACCAGGCCACAGCATTACCTTTGTACCTTTGCTAACCCCATATCAACCTGTCTGCTCCCTGCACTCAGCCTGCTCCACTTCCCCTGCCCGCTCTCTCCACCATCGGCGGTCCAGCCTTCAGCCTCTCTGTCCCCACCCTTTGGAATTCATCCCACATTCCCTTTCTCCCTCCCTTGCCTTCTTTGCAGCACGTCTCAAGACCCTTCTCTTCAACTGCGCCTTCAGTCACCCTCCTACCCCCACCCTCCCTGCGCTCCTACACCTGCTCGCCCTGCCCTTCACCCCTCCTGATCCCAACCACCAGCTCAGGGCAAAATCCTTGCAACGTCCTCGAGGAGTGAAGGGTGCTATACACATGTAATTTGCTGTTGTTGCTGTCTTTCCATCGCTGCCAGGCCTGGGGCCATTGGCCACTTCACCCATGTTAAAAGAAACAGAGGGGAGGGGTAGAGAATTTTTTTTCACACAGCAAGTTGTTCAAATCTGGATTGCATTTTTAAAGGGTGAAAGAGTGGAAGCCTATTCAATAACAACTTTTAAGAGAGAAGTACAACAACAACAAGTTGAACTTATATAGCATCTTCCAGTCAGGGTAACGTCTCAGAGCTCTCAACAGTGGCAGAGCCTGACTCCGAACCTGGGGTGGGGGTAAGCATGGACGAAGAGGAAGGTTTTTAGGCGGGACTTGAGAAAGGAGAGGCAGGGAGCAAGGAGGGGGGAATTGAGAGAGTGTTCCAGAGTTTCGGGGCTACTTTATTGTGAAGTAGATAATTATTTGGGGAGGACAAGTTTGCAGGGATATTGGGAGACAGTGGAGGAGTGGGACTGATTCGGGAAGCTCTTTTAAAAGAGTCACACAGGGGAATGGCCTCCTGTGTTGTGTAATTCTATGATGATATGATTCTATGGCAACCAGCCGACACTGTGGGGCAGGGGCGGGGAAACCACGCCCTTGTGAGTCATGTGATGTGGAACAAGAAGTGACCACGCCCCTGCAGGGCAGTGCGGGAGCAGAAGTGGCCACGCCCCTGCAGGGCAGTGTGGGAGCAGAAGTGGCCACGCCCCTGCAGGGCAGTGCGGGAGCAGAAGTGGCCACGCTCCATTGAAGGCAGGCGGCGCGGTGCAGTGTGGGGGCGGAGGAAGTCTCGCCCCAGAGGGGCAGGCGGTGCAGTGTGGGAGCGGGCCAGGGCCGCCATTTTGTGGAGGGAGGGAGCACTGCGCGAGGGCAAGATGTTGTCGAACGCGCAGCTCCTGGACGAGCTGATGGGCCGAGACCGCAATCTCGCCCCGGACGAGAAGCGGCAAAACGTTCATTGGGATGACGAGAGTGTGAGTCCGGGGAGAGCGGTGAGGCCTGGTCACAAATCCCGCGCTGTACTACTCCGGTTGGGCCGCCTGGGCCGCTCGCCTCACGGCCTGGGCCGCACGCCTCACGGCCTGGGCCTCCCTCGCTCCCCCTGGGACTGGCCGCGGCCCCAGGTCGGTCTTGTTCTCGATTTCGTGACAGCCAGAGGCCCCCCTTGTTACTAACTCTCCCCGAGGCTTCAGGAGCGGCCTGGGGTCAGTGGCTCGGGGAGCCGCCCCGAGCTCTGGCCTCTATGAGGACTTTATCGTGAAGTGATAACATTTGACGTTGTTTGAGGTGTTTCGGTGGTGTTCACGCAGTAAGTGATGTCTTTACTGACCCGCGTTTGTTTTTCAGGTGTGTAAATATTTCCTGTGCGGATTTTGTCCAGCGGAGTTATTCACTAACACCCGCTCTGATCTGGGTAAGGATGAGTTGGAATCACAGACCTTTACAGCGTAGGAGGAGGCCACTTAACCCATCGAGTCAGCACGGACTCTCGGAGCAAGCTAAACTTTCAGTTCCATTACCCTGACCTGTAACCAGATCCCTTCAAGGGGTCTAACATTCATGTACCCATCTACTTGCCTCCTGAAACCCACAATTGTCTTTGTCAGATGAGAGCTTTCATCCAGTTCTAAATTCTAAACTACAACAACTTGCATTTGTATCACAACCTTGGCGTAGAATAATGTATCTGAGTGTTTAACAGTGGCGGGGCTGGATGTTAAGAGTGGGAGGAAAGGAACGTGATCATAGGCACATAGGTTGAAGAGGTAGATTTTAAGGTGGTATTTGAAGACAGCTAAGCGTTCCAGAGGTTAAGAGTGTCGACTTGTAAACTCAGCCACTGATGGTAGTCGGGCGGGATCCATGTAACAAGTCTGAGTTTGCCGAGCAAGATGAGGTAGGAGAGAATTGGAGATGCAAGTAAGTGATAGGGCGTGTCAGGAGGCCAGAAAATAATTTTTCCAAGTATAGGTTATTTGTAGCTTCATATATGAGTGTCAATAGGAAATACATTTCCTGTATTAACCTGGTTGTGCACTATTTGTCTGGTGGTTGCTGGATAGAGACACACAGCGAAAGCAACATTGAGATTTCAAAGCCTACAAGGCAGTAGCACTGCTGGGTGTTGAGAACTTACTGCCGAATGAAAACTGCTTGATGTGTGGGCGTTCAGTGATGTGCATGAGAGCTCAGCACAGAGCCAGTTAGTGCTGCAATTTGGTTTCTCTTTCTGTGTGCTCTTGTCCTTTGTCTAGCAGAGCTAAGTTCTTGTCCCTCTCTTAGTTACAAACTGCACAGACCTCACGTACACATGTAGGTTAAGTGGCTAAACCCAGTGATGTTATTTGGTAACTTGTGTCTGTTAGTTCTCCAAATTGCTGACTTGTTCTATAGAAACAGGAACCCACGAGGACCATTTGGCTTCTGTCCATGTTATATTGTAGTGACATAAGGTCAGTTAATATATTGTGGCAGTAGCTCAGGGTCGGGGGCGTGTCCAGCAGAATTCTGGAGGTGCAATGACCCGGTCGTTTGTTCCATCGCCTCAGCAGATAGAGTGAGAAGAGCCACTAGAATTAAAGTGCAGACAGGTAGGATTTTAGCTGAGGGTAACGGTAAAATCCGATAAAGGTGGTTTAATAGTGATTTTGTTTTCTAGGTCCGTGTGAAAAGATCCATGATGACAACCTGCGGAAATAGTGAGTTTCTGTGTGTGTGTGTGCGCATGCGCAGAAATAGTGAGTATCTGAGCTGTGGCTGCAGCCTCTTGATAGGGTTGTAAATGCCCTCGTCTTTCCCACAGTTATGAGAAGAGCTCCCGCTTTATGAAGGTGGGCTACGAGAAGGACTTCCTGCGCTATTTGCAGAACCTGATGGCAGACGTGGAGCGGCGGATTCGCAGGGGCCATGCCCGACTGGCGCTGTCCCAAAATGCAACGACAGGAGCCACAGTAAGGACCGTGCAAACTGCGTTGGGGGAGGGTTACAAAGCAAAAGACACTGTACTCTGATTCTTCAGTGTTGCTCACAGCTGTAGAGAAGCTAATGAAACGAGTGTACATTCTTTTGTCCAATTAAAGAGTTAATCAACACTGGTATGGTGGTGGGAGGAGGAGGGGGTTGAGTGCAGTGGATGATTGGGAGGGAGGGGAGAGTTCCTGTTAGAGGCTGTTGGACGGAGGCACTGACTGGCTGCTGTGTTGTGTTACAGACTGGAGGACCTGTCAGCAAGAATGAGGAGAAAGGTCAGGTGTTAACGGAGAAAATTGAGGAGCTGCTGGAGCAGGTGAGCATCTCCCACACAATCTGTGCGGGGTGTGTAACGCTCTCCATTGCTCTGTGTGATGGGGAGGAGGACGCTGAACACGTATTTATTTTGATTATTGATCTCTTAATGAATCCATTGATAAAGTGAAGCTGAGCCGCACATCTCTGGCCTGCGACGAGTGTCAGCCGTGGGGAGCAGCAGGTGTCTGGCCCTGAGTGAACACTAGAAAAATCAGCCAAGCTTTCTGCTGCTCGCTGTGCGGGAAGCCCAAGTGCCAGCATGAAGAATGGCTGAGGCATTTGACTGTGGGACCATCTCCACAGGGGGAGTGCCTGTGGGAAATGGGGTGGAGTGAAGGGGCAGTGAGTGGAAGGAGGGTCATTAGGATGAGCCTATGTGAGTGGTGAGCTGCCGGGAGTAACTGAGCTGTTTTTTTGCGGCCAGATCGAGGAGCTGGGCTCTGAAGGGAAGGTGGAGGAGGCCCAGGGGATGATGAAGCTGGTGGAACAGCTGAAAGATGAACGAGAGCAGCTGCGCTCGGCCAGCTCCGTAAGTTCCTCTCGCTCGCTCTCAGCTTTGTCCTGTTACAGTGGTGCAGCTGGAGTCTGTGAGCCTCTTACACTTGTTGTTACAGACCATAGAAAGCTTTGCGGCCCAGGAGAAGCAGATGGAGGTGTGTGAAGTGTGTGGGGCATTCCTCATCGTGGGGGATGCACAGTCCCGGGTCGATGATCACTTGATGGGGAAACAGCACATGGGATACGCCAAGATCAAAGCCACGGTGGAGGAGTTGAAGGTGAGGCTGGTGAGCGGCAGACACACGGGTTTGCCCGGTCAGTGCTGCCAGGCATTCGTTTGTACAATATATTGTCCCAGCAGCCACGGTGTACTTATAATATATTAAAAGTAACTGGCTCTGTCACTCTGGTCAGTCTTGTTTGATCCAATAGAGCCTTGGGTTGTGGGGTTCGGATTCCTCTACATCTTCCACTATCATTGATAGACAGGTTAGTCAGTTGCTGGTAGAGCTTTGGACTGACTGCCAAGCTGTCCTGCTTTGCCAGATGTGTTCCCTTCAGAGCCAGGTGAACTCCAGTAGAAGGTATGCATAGGCTGTGGCCCTCCTGGCCCCAGGGGTTCAATGGAAGGGCTGAAAGTTGCAGTGGGTGTGATGCGGAATAACAGGAGTTCACTCAGTGGGTATCAGCTCCCATTCCGTGGCTGGACAGGCCGTGAAACCTGTTTTTTCCTCTCCAGGAGAAGTTGAGGAAGAAGACTGAAGAGCCAGAGCGCGACGATAAGCTAAAGAAAGAGAGAGAAGAGCGTGAGCTAGAGCGGGAACGGGAAAGAGAGGAACGTGAGAAGAAGCGGCGCCGTGAGGAGGAAGAGAAGGAAAAGGAGCGGGAGAGGGAGCGGGAGGCCAGGCGCAGGCCTAGCCCCTCGCGCAGTCGGCACTCGCACTCGGGGCGAGCATCCGACAGACGGAGAAGCCGCTCGCGGGATCGCAGACGGTCACGGAGCAAGGAGCGTGAAAAGAAGCGCAGCAGGTAAGTGCTTCACTCACTGAGGCCTCCTGTCACGATGTTTGGACGTTCACGTAACTTTACTCACTTTTTAAAAAAAGTTACCCCCGTCCTCGTCCACTCCACTGTCTCCCAGGACCTTGTATCCAATTCAGATCCTTATCCTGGCCTTCAAATCTTTTCATGGTCTTGCTCCTTCGTATCTAAGCTGTTTATTTAAGCCTATTCTGCTGTGTCCTCTAATTCTGATCTATTGCATGTTCCTCACTCCCTCTGTCACTGACCAAACCTTCAGTTATGATAACAGTAATAATCCTTGCATTTGATATAGCCCCTTATCTGTCTTCGAGATGTATGAAAGCGCTTCACAGAATATACTCTAAAGTGAATTTAGAGGGTGCAAAGGAGATTCACAAGGATGATCCCAGAATTGAGAGATTATACCTATCAGGAAAGGCTGAACATACTTGGACTCTTCTCTTGAAAAGAGGAGCGTAAGGGGTGACCGGATAGAGGTCTTTAAAATGATGAAAGGTTTGATAGGGTTGACATAGGAAAGATGTTTCCACTTGTGGGGGAGACCAAAACCAGGGGCCATCAATATAAAATAGTCACAAATAGATCAAATAGGGAAGTTAGAAGAAATGTCTTCACACAGAGAGTAGTGGGAATGTGGAAGTTGCTACCACAAGGAGCTGTTGAGACAAATAACATAGATGTATTTAAGGGAAAGCGAGAGAGGTACATGAAGGAAAAAGGAATAAGAAGGTTAGGCTTGAAGGCTTAGTTGAGGAAAGGCAGGAGGAGGCTCACGTGGAGCATAAACACCGGCACAGACCAGTTGAGCCAAATGGCCTGTTTCTGTGCTGTATATTCTAATTTATTTTAATGTATATCTTGTAGGTGAAACTCAGCAGCCAGTTGCTCACAGCAGTGTCCCACAAGCAGTCGTGGATTGAGTGACCAAATTATTTTTATTTATTTTGAGGGAATTGTTACCCCCGGAAAGTTATCTGCCAGTCAACTAACAAGTGGGTTCCTACTTACTGCTAGGTAAACAGAGGCGTGTGGAGTAGGGAAACTTGCCCAACATTTCGCCCTGCTGGGAATTGAACCCAGGTCCTCTCGCTTGCGAGGCGAGCGTTCTGACCACTGAGCTAAACGATTCCACGATGTCTGGAAATTACTCCTCAAATTGCTTCGTTTCACATCTTTTCTTTCTGCCTTTGATGCCATTTCATAAACCCATCTCTGGCTGTTGCTTTGGTGTAAATGTATCTCTCAACCTGGAAATTATTACTGTTTGGAAGGGGGGAGGAGCGTAGGAGCAGGGACCGGTCTGAGCGAGGAGAGGAGCGTAGGAGCAGGGACCGGTCAGAAAGGAAACACCGCTCCCGCAGCAGAGACCGCCGCAGATCCCGAAGCCGAGACTTAAAGTCACACAAACAGAGGAGCCGGAGCAGGGAGAAAGAGCGGAGATCAAAGGATAAAGGTGAGGTTTCTCTGCAAGTATAGCTCATCCGGCAGGAAAAGGGGCATCTGGTTTTCAGTTTTAACTGATAAACATGGATATAAAACAAAATGAAACACTGGAAATGTTATTCAAGGTTTCTCCAGCAAGGTATTCTCTCTCTTGCTTGTTCCCCGCGGTGTGCCACCTGTGCATGTACTACCCTCATTCTCTGCCTCTCCTCCATGTGCGTAGGTGTGTCTGACGAAGCTTGTGTGTGTGAGAGGAGGGAAGAATACACTGTGAGGAGGGATACACTGTGTGAGGAGAGAGGGAGACACTGTGACAAGAGGGATACACTGTAAGAGGAGGGAGGGAGGCACTTGTGAGAGGAGGGGGACACTGTGTATGTGAGGGCACCTCTGTCTCTTCCCTGTGTAGTGTCTGGAGAACCGGCAACCTCAGTTCGGTGTATAACAACAAAAACTTGATTTACATAGGGGTGCCTCATGCAGAGTAGTGTCCCAAAGCTAAAGCCCCGAAAACCCCTGACATCTAATGGAACTCTAAAATTGCAAAACAAAAGTTCTGAAAAATAAAATTAATAAACCAAAAAAGACTGAAGTTGTAACTGACCCACGGAGCCCTGAGCCAGGCAGCACAACACTGCATTGTCTGCTCCGTGTCGCTGGGCTGGACAATACTGGATTGGGAGGTACTTTCCTTGAGCTGCAGCTGGCTGTGCTCAGTGACCGGGGGGAAATGTAACACTAAAGTAAGGCTATGATGTTTCTTCAGTTCTCTTTGTGAATTGCTGTGGAAATGCAGCGTAGAGGCTACTTAGTCCAACTCTGAGTAAATTACATGGAACAGAGATGGCCCAAGGCAGCTGGCATCCCCAGAACTCTAAACTAAACAGGCTTTCTATAATTATCTGAAATGAGGGGGGCTGAGTACAGGCTGGATCTGCATGGACTGGCCCAGCTTCTGTTCTCGAGTTCACCTATGTTTCTCTCCTGTCACAGAGCGGAGAGACTCTGACCAGGTGAAAAGCAGCCGGAGGCCCTGCCACAGCGACAAGGAGCCGGCGGCAGCCGAGGCCACGCCCATGGAGGTGGAGGCCGCGAAGAGCGAGGTTAATGGGAGCGGGGAAGATCTAATATCTGAAGGTGACACTCAGTCCAATTAAAACTGATCTGATTTGACCTCAGATCAGGCGAAGGTAAGTGTGGCTTTGCTCTCCTCGGTTAGGGGTTGTGTTTGTTTTCGGGTGGCCTTTACAGTGCAGTGTAAGTATAGCGGCTGAGAAGATGGAGACACTAGCCTGCAATCCATGAAGATGTACTTTGTAAACCTGGCGGGCGAGGAGACAGTCTAGTCAGGAGACAGTGAAAAACATAAAGCGGTGTGGAAGACCTAGGTACCACTTTATCTTTCCTCAGCGTGTGTTATACTGAAACTTGGCCCCGTTCTGCTCTAGTCATTGGCGATGAATGGGTTTAGTCTTAAATCCAATAAGTTTGATGTAAATGGATGTAAATTTGGGAGGTTGATTCGGTGTGAGTCCTGTGTGGGATTGTTTGTGCACTTTTACTAGTCGATTCGTTCATTTTTTAAAAAAATGCTAGCCTAGAACATTTTAATTATAGGCACAGAATTAAGTGACTGTTATTTCTGTAACTGCATCTTAAGGCATATTTGACAGTTTTTTTTGTTGTAACAATCTCTTCTTTATGTCACGGAATTGTGTAGTAGTTTTTTTGTTTTTTGTTAATTGCCTTGCTCTAATGGAGTTTTTCTGTAACTCGAGCCGATAGCATTGGATTGATGGAAGTGTAGGGTTTATGAATAATTGAAGCTGAGAGCCATATCTCACACAGCGTTGGTGTTGTGAGCCGCCCATGAAAAAGCAAATTAAAAATCACGGACTCAGTCACTCATTGCAGGTACTCACGCCAGGTACTCCTTTCTCTACCCACATCGATGTTTGAATGCTTTTGCCTGTTTTTATATGTTAAAAAAAGTTTTTTTTAAAAAAAAAGCTTGCTGTTTCGTACTTGTATTATTAGATCATGTTAATGCAGCATAACTACAGGTTTTTACATTTAAGTTTTCTGTTTACCCGTACTGTCTTTGAAACTGTGAAATGTTTTATCTGTGCAGGCACATCGATGCCCTTCTCTTTAAACTATAGGGAATCGAGGCAAATTAGTTTCACGTCTCGTAGCAATTAAAGTGCAATGATAGCCGTCTGTTTACATGCAATAAGTTGCAGATTTAACAGAGGTATGTGTTTCGAGGCTTCTTCCCCTCAAGGGGATCACGTTTCTAGCTCTCAACCCCCTACAATAATTAACAGCTTCTCGATGCTTCCTGCCCTGTCCGTATTTTGTATAATAATAACGCATTATATTCAAAGTCCTTTTCAGTGACTTTGAAATAGTGTGAGGAAAGGAACTGTCAATATTAATTCTTTGCCTGTGGATACCCTCTTTCCACTGGTGAGTCAGTTGTAAATCTGTTTCCAGGGTAAACACAGAGGTATTCAGTCACCCTGAACCTGTTTCAATATTTGAAGAGAATGAATTGTGTAGTTTATACTGCAGGGTGCAAAGCTGCCTAGTTACTCACTGTCCATTAACTTGCACTTTGCCCAGACTATCTACATCTCTCTTCTTCCCCTTGTTCTTTCTCTTCCTCTCACCCCGTCTCTCCCCTTCCTGGGTGCTATGGGTTACCTGTGTGGGCTGTTCTAACCTTGGAGTTACGGGAGTTTGACATTTAATCCAGGTAATGAAGTGTGGCATCTCTGTTAGTTCTTGTACCTCAATGCTCCCAAGTGAAATGAACCAGTCTGGCCAAGAAACTGTCAAGCCCTGATTGTACCTTGTCAACCTGTAGAGGGTGATGTCCACCAGTACTGAATGAAAGGTGCATCATTGGCTGCTCAATGGCTGTCTGTCTTACATACCTTAACTGCTTCTTGATTTGAGCCACAATAATGGTCCTTGAAATAGAGGTGTTTTGCCACAGCTCAGTGTCTGACTTTCTCTTTCCCAGACACAGACTCCTGGCAGCTCTTCCCAGTAAGGAGAAGCCTGTGGCACTTCCCACATTAATCTTCAGCATTCAACTTGCATATCGAGTTTTATACCTCTCTGTGTTGGGGTGTGTGGGGGGGTGATGGGGGGGGGTAGGGGTGTCCAGCATATGTTATAGCAAGGGACCGTGGAGATCCGGGGTTTCCCAGGAAAGTCGCTGACATCAGAGCAGGGGACGCCCTGACACCAGGTGTCAGCCAGTCCCAGACCTCCGGCTCAATAGTTTGTGGCCTTGTCACTTTGTAACCAAGTGGCTTTCCATTGATGGTTACTGAGAGAGCCAGTACCAGAGAGGTGAAAGATTTGTGGGTCGCTGGAGTTTCCTCCCAGGTGAGCCGGGCTTGTGAGGCCAAGACGAGATGGAGCTGAGCTGCTTGTAAAGCACGGAGTTCTGGGCGTGTGTGGGGCTGGATTTAAAGCAGGGCCAGAGAGCCAGAGTGGCTTAGCTTCTCATTTAGACACATAGAAATTTACTCTATAGAAGGCTTCACATGGGATTTGTGCTGCTCTTTTAAGAGGAAACCTTTTACCTGCCCTTTCCTCATCCCCTATAGCTGACTGTTTTTAAGGTTTCTGTCTGGTTCCCTCTTAAAGGGAAGTTGTTATGATCCTGGAATGCCCCTATTCTCCACCTGTTTGTCGAAGGGATCTCGGGTTTTTAGATTTGTGGTCTCAAATCGTCACTTGGGAATCACTGACTCTTACCCAACCTGCTGTCTTTATGACAGTTACCAACTAGGACAATCCCGAGTTTAAAGGGTTAAATTTGCCGGGTTGGGGGTCCGAATATTACTTTATCATCAAACTTTCAATTCCATTTTAACTTGCCTTTTGCCTCGCTGCTGTGGAGTGCAGTCCCCCTGCTTCCCCCACAATCACTGCCCACATCAGCGCAGGAGCTGACAGGGGTCTTGTGTTTCTAAAGTTCCTGCTGGCTGCAAGAGGGGAGGTATTGGCCAGAGTAAATCAGTTTGGAATCTAGAGCCTCCGAGAGAAAGACAGGCTTTTTTGTGCTTGAGGCTAATGGGAGTTGGGTGGCTTGGTTAGTTAATTTTGTGTACTTTTTTTTGCCAATCACAGACTCCCCCCCCCCCCCCCCCGGGCATCTCCCTGAGAAACACTAGCTATAGTGAGCTGTGGTCTCGAGAGTAGACTTGGTGTAGATGCTCCTGAATGGACGTATGCGCGAAAACATGGAGGAAAGCTTTCTTGTAAAGAATTAATATTGACCATCACAGAGTAAAATGGACAACCTGGTCCCGGGTCCCTTTCACTCACATCTGAGCGCGATGTTACTGCAGCAAAGTCATAACTTGAGAATGCAGTGTGTGCGCTCAGACATGGTTTCTCGTCCGTGGTTACAGCTCTAGCCAGTTCTTAGCAGAAGTCCCGGCAGCCGAGCGGTGTTGTGGGAAGCCTCCTCTGTGAGGTACTTTCCTTTTACTTTTTATTTCATTTTAAAAGTGGTGATGTGCGATGGAAGAATTTTGAGTGTGTGGAGTGAGCGTGAGTAGAGTATTCGTGCGGAGGATTCTAACTGTGTGCTTTCAAATGTTTAATTTCTGTAGGGTCAGCCAACAGAAGACATCACGGCAGCTGGTGAAGATGAGACGGCCTGACCCGAAGCCTCTGCCCAGTTCATACAAGGTGAAAGCAAGCTGTGTAGTGGTGTAGAGAAAGCGGGGGAGAGAGATCGAGGGAAAGACAAATTATCATTTTTAGGGGAAAATTTACAAATTCATTTCGGGACTATTATGTACATGTTTAGCTGCCCACAATTTCCATGGCATTTTGTTTGTTTGTGCTTGCGAATACTCTTCACTTAAAATGAACTTCAACCCTGTTTTTTTCCCATGAATGTGTCTGACAGGAGCAGTTACCTGAACCATGTGAGCTGCTAATGCGTAGTAATGGCTCTCTCCTCCAAGGTTAATTTAGTAGCGAAGCACTCTGTGTAAATACAGACAGCGATTACGTGTATAGAGCTTTTTGATGATTAAGAAGCCGATTCCTTCAGAGCTGCTCTGTGACAGACAACGTTTTTTTTTGGATTTTGTGGCGGCCGTTTGCCGTCTCTGCCCGTCACTGGGTGGCAGGATTCGGTGTTCACCATTTTCCCTGCTTTTTCTGTGTTTTGAAAATGGTTGCTGTAATTTGCAAATTTTAGTGTCGAAACATGAATAAATCTTTTTTTCAGTAAAATTGATGTGTTTGTTTCTATTGAAGTGCAGACAACAACTTGCCTTTATATAGCATTCCAGAGCGCTCAACAGTGCGGAGGGGATGTGGCTTCACTGTAAGTTGGAGCATTGATGTTTTACAGAAGTGATGTGAATGTGGGAGGTGGACAGCCCCAGCCGGGAGCCACATTTGTGTTAAATTCAAGGGAGTTTTCATAGCTGCTTGGGAGAACAGTTCAGGGTATGAGACAAAACCCAAAATACTGCAGGTGCTGGAAATTTGAAACAAGAACAGAAGTCGCTGGGAACACTCAGTAGGTCAGGCAGCATCTACTGAGAAAGGAAAATGAGTCAATGTTTCGGGTCCACGATCCTTCATCAGAACTAAGTCAAGTTGTGCACTGGCCAGAGAGCAGCACAGGGACTACCCAGTGTGTGTTGATGTGTATTTGTAAATAATCCTCCAAATGTATTTCCCACTGAAGCCTGAGGAGCTGCTCTACTGTAAGACCGGTGCAGAGATTCACACCTGATGTCCTACAGTTTACCTGCAAAACAAACTGCTCCAGTCTCTAGAGTCCGTGACAGTGATGGTGGAGCAGCCTTACTCTGGCCGCATCTGGACAAACAGTGATCTTCAGATAAAGCATTGATGTGAGAAACGTCACAGATTGATGCCTGAGGCACTCTCAGCTTTATTGAACTCAGGATGAATGCAGGACAGAGCTGCTCATTCAGTCTGTAAATTTATATTTAATCATTCAAATAAACAGTCTTGTATTTTAAAGTGGGATAAATACATTGAGTACAAAAATAGAGAAATTGCTATCAGTAACTATATACTGCCAGGCGGACAGACTGGAAGGCACCTGAGGTTTGTCGAGTGCAATCTCTGAGAAATTCACTTCGCTCACCCAAACGGCAACAACCTTGATTGACATCTGCGCACAGCAGCTCCAGCAAGACTGAGGCAGTGGAGTGCATGAGCAGCCAGTTAGGCCAAACCTGCATCTTTGGCCATGCTATAAAATACGCCTCTCTGAGCAATGAGATTCGCTGGAGTGTCAAACTCTGCAATTCTCCCTTTGTCCAGCACCAGCACCCTGTGGGGAAGGGAATGTGATGATTAATAATAATCCTTGCAGTTGATATAGAGCCTTATCACATCTTTGAGCTGTCTCAAAGCGCTTCACAGAATATACTGCAAAGTGAATTGACTATGTTTTGTGGGTGAAACATGGCAGCCAATTTGCACAGCAATGTCCCACAAACAGTCGTGGATTGAGTGACCCCATTTTTTTAAAAAGAGATTTATTACCCCCAGAAAAAAGATCTGCCAATCGACTAACAACCGAGTTTCTATTTGCTGCTATGTAAACAGATGTGTGGTGGAAACTTGCCTAATGTTTTGCCCAGGAATCGAACTGGGGTCCTTTCTGACCTTTTCTTAACCTAAATCTGGCTCCACCTTTCCTCTCCCCCTCATCAGCTCGCAGTTGTGTGTGAGAGAGGCCTGGCCAGCTAGATCCTCGTCCTCACTTTCAAGGCCATCCATGGCCTTGCCCTCTCTGACCTGCTGACTCCCTACCAACCTGCCCACTCCCTCCATTCAGCGGGCTCCGGCTGCTCCATGTCTCCCACCTGACCCGGCCTACCATCGGTGGCCAGACTTTCAGCCTCTCTGCCCCCACGCTCTGGACCTCCATCCCACGGTCCCTTCGCCTCGCTTCCTCCCTCGCCTCCTTCAAGGCCGCGCTCAAGACCCTTCTCTTCAATTGTGCCTTTGGTTGCCCTCCCACCTCTCTACCTTCCCTCACCCCTCTCCCATGCTCGGGCCTCGACACCTGACTGTTCAGCGCCTTGGGACGTAAAAGGCGTTCTATAAATGTAATTTTGTTGTTGTAGTGACATCTCCCTCACCTGGTGTAGTCCATGATGGTGTTGAGGCGATGTGCGATGGTCAGGACGGTGGAGTCTTTAAACTGCGTCCTAATAGTCGACTGAATCAGGTCGTCTGTCTCTAGATCCACGGCGGCCGTCGCCTCATCCAAGACCAGGATGCGGGTTTTTCTCAAGAGAGCCCTGGCCAGGCACACCAGCTGCCTCTGCCCCACACTGCAACACACAGAAAACACATCACAGAGAAGTGTCAGCTCTGGACCCGAGACCATGACAAGTCATTCTGCTTGTGGGCAAAACAATTGTATTGAGAATTGTAGGTCAGAAATGTCAGCAACAACTCGGGTTAGAGATATTGTTAAGCTCTCTCTACACCGGTCATGTCCAAGCTTTATGCTTGGCCAACAAAATAAATGGTCTTCATTTACTCTATAAAATCAAAAATTGAAAACACTCAAACGTGGAGTTGCCTAAATTCATGCGAATGTTCTGGGGGGGGGGTGTTGATTGCCCCATTGGCCACCACTGCGCTTCACTGTATCCACACTCCCAATTCAGGATTAGGGTCAGAATGAAGATCTCTCCAAGCTATCCATCCACACTTCCAAGACAGCGATAGCAAAGACTCTCAGCCTGGGCCAACATTTTGGCTGACAGATTTGGGGAAAATCGTTGAAGAAGCCATATTTTTGTGTTTCCCTTCTGGAGAGAAATCAATACAGAAATCCTATGTTTTAAATTGTGTAGGTCAATTAGTGAAATTAGGTAAGTGTATTACTTAATTTCACTATATTTTATAATAATAATCCTTGCATTTGATATAGCGCTTTTCACGTCGGGAGGACGTCCCAAAGCGCTTCACAGAGTATACTGTAAAGTGAATTGACTGTATATTTGTGGGCGAACGCGGCAGCCAATTGCGCACAGCAATGTCCCACAAACAGTCGTAGATTGAAAATGACCAATTTATTATTGTTTTGTTTTTGGAGGGATTATTATTAGGCTCCGTGTGGAGTAAGGAAACTTGCCCAAGGTTTCGCCCTCTGCCTGGAATTGAACTCAGGTCTCTCACTTGCAAAGCGAGTGCTCTAACCACTGAGCTACAGGACTCCAGTTACAATGTAAGGCAATGTTTTAGTTTTTTACAATGTTTTAGTTACAATGTAAGGCAATGTTCAAATTCATACACATTTTAAAACAATAGTACAGCCAGTAGTGATGGTCTTTGTGTGTCTCTGTTTCTGTACATTTGTGTGTGGGTAAGTGTCTCTGTATCTCTCTCCTGTTACTGGTTTGAAAGTGATTGAAATGGTTCTGATGATCTCATTGTGATTGGTGTAAATTTCCTCCTGTTAAGTATTGTTAACAATGTGGGCGATTTCCCCTGGTGCTGTGCCAACATTCCTGCCTCACCCTAATTTACCAGCAACACATTCAGGACAACGCCTTTTAAGTTGAACTTGTAGTGTTTTGCAGGGGATTTTTTTTAAAGTGGAACGATGGTTTACTTTGATGGCAAACACAGCAGCCTTGAAGCAAATGATTGATTAATCTGGAGGATCGACTGCCAATGGCGTAGCAGGAGCTCGTCTTAACTGCTCAGTCAGAGAATATCCCCTCCCGAAGGCTAAATGTCACAATGTCTGACTCATTTTTTTCCTCCAGCCAGCTGTCTGGTACATGCAGAAACCCATTATTGTGCTTAAGAGTTTCCAAACCAAGCTGAGATTTCCATGAATCCCACCTACACATGGAAATCCCTAGAGATAGATTGTTGGAATGGAATGTGCTCTCTCTCCCTGGAGGGACATATCCTGTTTACATATCTTGGTTGGCAACAGCCAAGTCTTGGGGATCCCAGAGTGTGAGTTGAGGCAACTGCTGGAGTCTAACCAGCTAAAACTGCAAAACTTGCCATTGATATTGGTGTCTGGCCAAGCTTTCCTGCTGCTTGTCCAGCTAGGACCAGCCTACACATTATGAATTTGGCTTGCAGGGTTAACAGGAGCTGAGTGGGATGACTCGCTGCCCCCAGCGACTGGTCTGCCCTTCAAGGTCCTGCCAATGAGCTGGGCTGTGCTGTCATCAGCAGTGAATTCTGTGGTCCTGCCTGGCCTGGGAACTGGAATAGACCCCACCACAGAGGGCTGGCTCGAGTCCAACATTCGATTGCCAGGTATGTCACCTTGGGGCCAGTATTGCTTCCCCAAGGAGGAATGTCTGACTCACAGTCACATAACTACAGACAGTAGTCTTCCCACCCCTCCGCTGTACCTGAGGTTCTCGCCGCCTTCGGAGCACTGGAGCAGCAGCCCTGCGGCCTGGTTGCTCACAAACCGCTTCAGGTGGGACAGCTCAAGCACCCGCCAGAGGTCCTCCTCACAGTGGTGGTCAAAGGGGTCAAGGTTCATCCGCAGCGTCCCAGAGAACAGCACCGGGTCCTGGACATAGGGCAGAGTGGAGTGAGAGAGAGAACGACTGAGGAGGGGAGTTAGAGAGAGACTGAGAAGTTAGAGAGCGCGAGCGAGGGTGGAGGGGGCTGATCTGAGGCTGTGACACAGGCCAGTGAAGTTTGGTTTAGCTACTAATCCAGATTCAGCAACAAAGCCGCTGGTAATCTATTGAAATAAAAGAATAAACACAGGAAGACCTTTGTTTTATGCATTGCTCAAAATGCCAATGCTTGATGATGTAGCATTCCTTTGCTACATCATTCCTTCCACTCCTTTGCACGCTCTCCCTCCCTCTCGCTCTCACTTATTCTCTCTGCCTCCTGCTCTCCCTCCCTCCCTCTTTTGCCTTCTCTCACTCGCCAGAATTCAGACAGTTATTTTACCAAAAAAGAAAAATTTTAACCTTTATTTGGGAGAAATTAAAGCGGTGCGGGACTAAACACACATCATCGTTTGTTGGGCAATGAATAAACACAGAACAATTAACACAAGTCTTTGAATTTTCAACTTCTTATTTTAGTAATTCCTTTCAGTAAAGGGCTCCTCCCACCTCCCGTTTCATAGAATATTACAGCAACATTTTCAAAATCGTCCAATTCCCTTTTCAGAAACTATTAAACATTCCTCAAAACCTATGGTCTAACCTTTCTCTGTCTCCCTCTCTTTTGAATCTCATTCTGTCCCTTAACTATCCTAACAACCAGTTCCACCATTTGTTTTGGGGTTGCTGGGTGTCGTCACCATGCTTAGGATCCAAACCAGGCAGAGATCCACATCTGCCACCTCCACATAGCAATTCCCATATAGAATAGGAATTAGGAGCAGAAGTAGGCCATTCGGCCTCTCAAGCCTGCCCTGCCATTCAATAAGATCATGAGTGATGGCTGATCTTCTAATCTAACTCCAATTGCCCACCTTATCCCCATATCAACAACAACAAAATTACATAGAGCGCCTTTCATGTCAGGAGGACATCCCAAAGCGCCTGAACAGTCAGGTGTTGGGGCCCGAGCATGGGGGAGGGGTGGGGTAGGGGTGAGGGAAGGCAGCGAGGTGGGAGGGCGACCAAAGGCATGGTCAAAGAGGAGTGTCTTGAAACCGGCCTTGAAGGAGGCGAGGGAAGAAGTGAGGCAAAGGGACCGTGGGATGGAGTTCCAGAGTGTGTGGGGCAGAGAGGCTGAAAGCCCGGCCACTGATGGTAGGGTGGGTCAGGCAGGAATCATGGAGCAGCCGGAGCCCGCTGAATGGAGGGAGCGGGCAGATTGGTAGGGAATCAGCAGGTCAGAGGTAGGAGGGGGCAAGGCCATAAAAGTGAGGATGAGGATCTTAAACTTGATCCTCTGGGGGATGGGGAGCCAGTGGAGTTGGGCGAGGGTGGGAGTGATGGGGTCACGGAGCCTGGTGCGTGAGAGTACATGAGCTGCAAAGTTTTGGATGATCTGCAGTTTGTGAAGGGAAGAGTTGGGAAGGCCGATGAGGAGGGAGTTTCCATAATCGAGCCTTGATGTGACGAATGCGTGGGTGAAGGTTTGGGCAGCCTGAGGGGTTGGGTGAGAGTTGGGTGTCATCCGCATGCATGCGGAAATTTACCCCATGTCTGCAGATGATGTCACCGAGGGGGAGCATGTAGAGGGTGAAGAGGAGGGGACCAAGGACAGAGCCCTGAGGAACACCGCACGAGATGCTGCGGGGGCTGGAGGAGAAGCCATTTGCTGCAACGAAGAGGAGACGATGTGAAAGATAGGACCTGAACCAGTCAGGGACAGAACCTTGAAGGTTGAGGTGGGAGGAGAGGCGGTGGAGGAGGATTGAATGATCCACGGTGTCAAAAGCAGCGGAAAGGTCGAGGAGGACGAGGAGTCAGAGGGAGCCCTGGTCGCACATGGTCAGGATGCTGTGTGCAGCAAGGAAACCCCGATTGGAAGGGTTCATGGAGGGAGTGAGAGGAGAGGAAAGAGCGAAGCTGGGAGACAACGGCTCTCTCAAGGATCTTGGTTAGAAAAGGAGGTTTGAGATGGGTCGGTAGCTAGATAGCTGTGATGGATCAAGGGAAGGTTTCTTCAAGGTGGGGGTGATGATGGCTGTTTTGAGGTGGGAAGGAACAGTGGCAGATGACTCTATCCTCCATCCTTCAGAAATCTATCAACCTCAGTATTGAATATGTTCAAGGGCTGAGCATGCAAGGATTATTATTATTATCATCTACAGCTTTCTGGGATAGAGAATTCCATAAATTCACTCTGAGTGAAGAATTGTTTCTTCAACTCTGTTCAAAAAGGCTGACCCTTAATCTTAAAACTGTGACCCCGAGTTCTAGATTCTTCTATATTCTAGAGAGTATAGGCCTAGTTTACTCAACCTATCCTCATAGGTCAACCCTTCATCCCAGGAACTAACCTAATGAATCTACGCTGCACCCCCTCTAAGGCGAGTATATCCTTTCTCAAATAAGGAGACCAAAACTGCACACAATACTCTCGGTGCGGTCTCATCAGGGCCCTGTGCAGTTGCAGCAAGACTTCCCTACTCTTGTATTCTAACCCTTTTGCAATCAACGCCAACATGCCATTAGCCTTCCTAGTTGCTTGTGTACCTGCAGACTAACTGTTTGTGACTGGTGTACAAGGACACCCAAATCCCTCTGAACACTAACACTATCTATTCTCTCCCCTTCTAGAAAATAATCTGCTTTTCTGTTTTTACTGAATAACTTCACACTTCCCCACATTATATTCCATCTGCCATCTTCTTGTCCACTCCTCTAGCCTATCTATATCCCTTTGCAATCTATTTGTGTCATCCTCAGAGCTTACTCTCCCACCTAGCTTAGTATCATCCGCGAATTTAGAAATTTTAAATTCTATGTCCTCGTCTAGATCATTGATATTGATTGTAAATAGCTGAGGCCCAAACACTGATCCTTGTGGCACTCCACTGGTCACATCTTGCCATTCTGAGAAGGACCTGTTTATCCCTACTCTCTGATTTCTTCCCGTTAGCCACTCTTTGATCCATGCTAATATATTGCCTTTAATTCCATGTGCCCTCATCTTGTGTAGCAGCCTTTTATGTGACACCTTGTCGAATGCCTTCTAAAAATCTAAGTACACTATATCCACTGGTTCCCTAACCTGCTAACCTGCTAGTTACATCCTCAAAAAACTCTAAAAGGTTAGGTAAGCATGGCTTCCCTTTTGTAAAGCCATGTTGACTCTGCCTAATCAAGTTATGATCTTCTAAGTACCCCACTACGATGTCCCTAATGAAGGATTCTAGAATTTTCCCTACCAGCGATGTCAGACTAACTGGTTTATGGTTCCCCATCTTCTCTCTCCCACCCTTCTTAAATAGTGGTGTTACGTTTGCGATCTTCCAATCAATGGGAACCGTTCCAGAAACCAGAGAATTTTGAAGGATCAAAAACAAGGCATCCACTGTCTCAGCAGCCACCGCTTTATAAACCCTAGGATGCAGGCCATCAGGTCCAGGGGACTTGTCATTTTTCAATCCCAACAGTTTCCCTGGTACTAATTCTTTACTGATGTTAATTTCCCTAAGTTGCTCACTAACATTAGCTTCTTGGTTCCCCTCTATTTTTGGTAAGTTTTCAGTGTATTCTAATGTGAAGTATTTGTTTAATGACTCTGCCATATCTTTATACCCCATTATAATTCCTCCTGTCTCTGCCTGTAATGGACCCACATTAACTTTTGCTAATCTCTTCCTCTTTATGTATATGTAAAAAGTCTTTATGTTCCTAGCTAGTTTACCCTCATAATCCATTTTCTCCCTCCTAATCAGTTTCTTAGTCTTTCTTTGTGGGTCTCTGAAGCCCTCACAATCCTCAGGTTTACTACTCTTTTTGGCAGTATTATTCTTTTAATCGTATTCTTTCCCGTATACTGCTCTAGTTGACAATGGTTGAACACATTTCCCGTGGTATTTTTATTCCTCAGGGGAAGATGTACTGTATCTTTAAAGGTTTGCCATTGTCATATCCTTTAATCTAATTTCCCAGACTATTTTAGCTAAATCCTCTCTCATACCTGCAAAGTTGGCTCTATTTAAATTTAAGACCAGTGGTTTGGACTTAATTACATTACTTTCAAACTTAATGCTAAAGTCCATCATGTTATGGTCACTCTGCCCCAGAGGAGCCTTAACTTCCAGATTGCTGATTAGCTCTATTTCATTACTCAAAACAAGATCTAGGATCGCTTGTTCCCTGGTTGGTTCCTCAGCAAACTGATCTAGAAACAACAACAACAACAACAAGATTCCATTTATAAAGCGCCTTTCACGTCAGGAGGACGTCCCAAGGCGCTGCACAGTTGGGTCATGACCCGAGCAGGGGGGAAATGGTCAGGGTGAGGGGAGGGAGCGAGGAGGGGGGAAATGGTCAGGGTGAGGGGAGGGATGGGAGGGAGCGAGAAGGGGGAAGAGAGTCGAGAGGGAAACTATGTCTAATGCATTTTATAAACTCCTCCTAACTTACTTTTGCCAATTTGTTTTTCCCAATCTATATGAAGATTAAAATCACCCACTGTTAGTATATTTCCTTTGCTACATGCTCCACTAGTTTCCTGACTAATACTCTGCGCAATACTGTGGCTGCTGTTCGGGGATCTATAAACTACTCTCACGAGTCTTTTCTCCCCCGTTATTTTATAATTCCACCCATACTGACTCTACATACTGATTTTCTGATTAAAATTCTTCCTGCCTACTGTTTTTATCCCATCCTTTATTAGCAGGGCTCCCCCTCCACCTCGTTATCCACATTGCCTATCTTTACTAAGTGCTGAATACCCCAGAATATTTAGCCCCAGCCTCGATTGCCCTCGATCAAAAAAATTATTTTTTTGAAGTTTTTTTGTTAGTTTTTCATTGTTTGTTTTCCCTGATGTACCATGTATCCAGCCACGCCCCTCCCCAGCCACGCCCCTCCCCAGCCACGCCCCTCCCCAGCCACACCCCTCCCCAGCCATACCCCCAGCCATGCCCCTCACCAGCCACCCCCCTCCCCAGTCATGCCCCCAGCCACACCCCTCCCTGTCATAACCCTCCCCATCCATGCTCCCAGCCACACCCCTCCCCAGCCATGCCCCCAGCCACGCCCCTCCCCAGCCATGCCCCCAGCCACACCCCTCCCTGGCATACCCCTCCCTGTCATACCCCTCCCTGTCCATGCCCCCAGCCACACCCATCCCCAGCCACACCCCTCCCCAGCCACGCCCCTTCCCCACCACGCCCACAGCCAGACTGCTCTGCAGCCATGCCCTTTTCTCAGCCAGGTCCCTCTCCCGGCCATGCCCCTCCCCCAGCGAGTACCTGAGGGATGATGGTCAGTTTGGAGCGCAGATCGTGTAGTCCCATCTCCGCGATCCTGACGCCATCAACAGTGATCTCACCCTCAGCTGCCTCCAGGATTCGGAAGAGACAGAGAGTCATGGAGGATTTCCCAGCTCCGGTTCTCCCAACAATCCCGATCTGCGGGGAGAGTGTATCAGTCTGTGGCAGGAAGCGTGATGGCTGGCGGGGGGCCACAAGTGACCAATCTCTGGTTTGGGACCATCACTTTGCGCCTCTCCCCAAACCGACTGGTCTTCAGACTTGAGACCAGACGGCAAGTGCAAGGGGAACCGAGGAGCCGGGCTGTGGGTGGTCCTTGCCCCCCCCCATCCCACCACCAGGAACATCAGCCGCTGCACTCAGCAGGGGAAACATTTCCCGGCACGGTTTGAGCGGGGAAACAAACCTTCTCTCCGCCGTCGATGGTGAGGTGCAGATCCCGCAGCACCAGGTCCAGCCCCTCCCGGTAACGCACACTGTAACCACGGAACTCAACGCTCCCCGTCTGTGGCCAGTCCGGGTCTGGGCGCTTGTCATCAATCACCCAGGGAGCCTGAAACACACACATACCCGTCACACACACAACATACATCGTCACACACAAACACACACATCATCTCACACACGCACACACCCATCACACACACCGTCACACATCGTCACACACACAGTCACACCCACACACTGAGCTGTGGCTGGTGACTCAATGGGGCACGTGAGGGGATAGTTACCTCATTAACAGTCTCTGAATATTCTTTGATTCGTTCCACGGCCACGATGTTTGACTCCAGGTCAGAGGTCATCCGTACCATCCAATTCAAAGACATGGTGACCTGCGGCAAAACCACACATGGCCCCATGGGGCGGGGCTGAGGTCAGGTGATAGGAGGGTCCGGGGCGGGGCCTGGGATACGAGGGAAAGGCCATGACGGGTTGGGCGTGCGATGGGGGCAGGGATGGGGAGTTGAGGGTGGGTGGCACCAGGGGCAGAGCTCACCTGCAGAGCGTACGACACGGACAGGCCCACGATACCAGGCTTCAGGTGGTCGCGCCCAATCACTGCAAAAAGCGCCGCAAACAGCACAATACAGTTCCCGATAAACTCAATCCTGATCCCCAGCCACCTGGGGAAACAACAACAACAACAACAATATAGCACTGCACCCGGGGCGGAGTCAGCACTGAGGCAGCGCCTCCTCCCCGCCATAGCCCCACCCCCATCCCCACTCAATATAAAGCCTGGGCACCACCCTCAACACAGCCCCGCCCCAGCACAGCCCCGCCCCCACCCTCAACACAGCCCCGCCTCAGCACAGCTCCACCCTCAGCACAGCCCTACCCCAGCAAGACCCATGCCCACCACACTGCCCATTTTGGGAGGTGGCGGAGGGGCTTGGCAGAATCGGGCAGGTCACACCCCCAGCACAGCCCCACCTCCAACACAGCCCCACCTGTTAGCAACGATGCCGGGGAAGTAGCTCTTCTGGTTGGTGTCGACCTTGACGTCGCTCATGTGGATGAAGCTGGCACCGCGGCCGTAGGCCCGCACCACACTGGAGCCGCTGATGGTCTCCGAGAAATGGGAGTAAACCGGGGAGCGGCTGACAGACTCCAACCGCTTCAATTGCCGCGAGGTGGCCACGTAGAAACGCTGGTAACAGAGATATGCGGTCACACACCTTGTCCCAGCTCCGGGTGGGTGGTGGGGATGGTGGGAGGGGTGGGGTTAGGGTTAGGGTAAGGGGAGATGCTCTCTGATGGTAGGTCTGTACTCTGACACTCCCTGAGCCCATTGCTGAGACACCATGCACTAATAATCACCTCCCCCCCACACACACACACTCACCAGGCACAGACTCAGAAACAAGCACAGGCAGACAGGCAGACGCACAACTGAGGAAGCAAAACGCCATTGGTTAAAAAGGTTCAAATCAAATGCTAAAGTAAATTATTTATTAAAATTTAGCCAATTTGAATGAGGAGACTTGGAGGACAAGACATCATGCCCCTCCCCTGCTCGGCCTGGTCTCACTCACTGACACTAACACTGACGGGACTGTTCACCGATATTAACGTTTAGATGATGTTAAAAATCACAACAATCCCCCACACAACAGATATTGGTGAGCTACAGGAACAATCATGTATATCTGTGACTCTGTGAGTTACTCCACCACCCCGGAGAGTCTGAGAGAACAGCGCACACTCGCTCGCTGGCTCTAAGCGCTCTAGGACACTACTCTGTGTGAGGGGAGTGATATAAATGCAAGTTGTTGGCTGGACAAGGGTGTCACACAGCCCCACAACCAGCAGCTTTACACTGTGCGGGAGCTGATACCCATGCACCCATTTACCTGAACCCACCAAAAGACCAGCAAAATGGGCAGAGTGATGAGGAGGAAGATGGGGGTGAGGATGGAGCAGATGATGAAGACGGACAGCGTGTACCAGAAAGTTTGCATCCACAAGCCCACCCCTTCGGGAATGGTCACGTCAATCCCATCCAGGTCTTTTCCGAAGCGGTTCAGTATTCTCCCGCTCGGATTGGCCTCAAAAAACTGAAGTGGGCAGCGCAGTAGGCACTGTAGCAGGTGCAGGTGCAGTGAACTCGAAGCTCGCAGAGCCCAGTGTCCACGGCTCAGGAAGCTGTTCAGCAGCAAGAGAAACCCTGTGCAATGAGAGGAGAAGCGTGAAAGCCACACGCTAAGCACACACAACATGCAACACACAGACATGGAAGCAGCTGAAGCACAGAGGCAAGGTGTAGACCCCCCCACCACCCGATACTGCTCCTCCCCCCAATAGCTGTCACGGTAACGACACCCACAATTCCTCCCTTCCTCCCCCCACGCACAGACACACAGTCCAGACACAGAGACTCCAGCACAGACACAACAACAACAACATTACATTTGAAGCACCTTTCAGGTCGGGAGGACCTCCCAAGGCGCTGGATAGGCAGAGTTACGGACCCGAGCTGGGGGTCAGGGTCAGGGAGTGTGGAGGGCAGAGGGGGAAGCAGGGATATTGAAAGCACGGTCAAAAAGGAGGGTCTTGAGATGGGTCTTGAAGGAGGTGAGGTGAACGAGGAGGGACTGCTGCGGGATGGCGTTCCAGAGGGTAGGGGCAGTGTGGCAGAAGGCCCTCCCGTCAATAGTGGGGCGAGTGAGGCGGGGGATGTGAAGCAGGCCGGAGCCCACTGAGTGGAGGGAGCGAGAAGGATAGTAGCGGGTTAGGAAGTCGTAGAGGTAGAGGGGGGAGCAAGGCCATGAGGGGCTTTGAAGGTGAGGACCAGGATCTTGAACTGTATCCTCTGTGTGATGGGAAGCCGGTGGAGTCGGACGAGGAGGGGGTGAAAGGGTGCCTGATGCGGGAGAGGACACGGGCTGCAGAGTTTTGGATGATCTGCAGCCTGTGGAGGGAGGAGTTGGGGAAGCCAACAAGCAATGAGTTTGCACAGTCGAGCCTCGATGTAATGAAAGTGTGTATGAGGGTGTCGGTGGCCTGTGGTGTGAGACAGTGGCAGAGCCGGGCAATGTTGTGGAGGTGGGGGAAGGCAGAGCGGGTCATGGCGCAGATTTGGGGTAGAAAGGATAGTTGAGGGTCAAACAAGATACCCAGGTTCCTGACTGGCTTAGTGAGGGGGGAGTGAGCCCCATGGATGGTGATGCTGTCAGCGCCTGAGGTGAAGGGGTGATGACGGGAGCCAATCAGGAGCCTCGGTCTTGTTGACGTTCAACTGTAGAAAGTTCGCTCTCATCCAGGGCTTGATATCTGACAGACATTCTGTCAGGACAGCAGTGGGTCCTGGATCGAGGGTGGGGGCAGAGATGCACAGTTGGGTGTCATCCGTATACATGTGGAAGTTGGCTGCAGATGATGTCACCAAGAGGAAGCATACAGATATTGAAGAAGAGGGGACTGAGGACAGAGCCCTGAGGAACGCCACACAAGACGGTGCGGGGGCTGGAGGAGAAACCATTTGTGGAGTTGAACTGGAGATGGTGTGAGAGATAAGATCTGAACCAGTCCAGGACAGAACCATGAAGGATGTGGTGAGAGGAGAGGCGGTGGATGAGGCCGGAGTGGTCAACGGTGTGGAAGGCAGCAAAGAGGTCAAGGATGACGAGGAGGACGAGGGAGCCCTGGTCGCAGATGGACAAAATGTCATTTATCACTTTGACTGGGGCTGTTTCTGTGCTGTGAGCTGCACGAAAATCCGATTGGAGGGGTTCAAGAAGTGAGTGGGGAGGAGAGGAAGGAGCGAAGCTGAGAAGCAACAACTCACTCCAGGACCTTGGAGAGGAAAGGGAGGTTGGGGATGGGGCGGTAGTTTGGGAGCAGAGAAGGGCCCAGGGAGGTTTTTTTTAAGGATAGGAGCAATATGGCAGTTTCAAAATGGGGTGGGAACAGTACCAGTGGACAGGGAGAGGTTTATGATGTCTGTGAGTAGAGCAACAAGGAGGTGGAGCTGGGAGGTAAGGAGAGGTGTAAGGGTGGGGTCGAGGGAGCAGGTGGTCGGTTTCATGCCGGTTATAATGGTGGTGAGAGGAGGGGGAGACAAGTTTGAAGATGTCGAGGGAGGGATGGGTAGGGGCCGGGGTGGGAGGTGGGAGATGGGGAGGGGGTAGCAGACGGAATGGCAGAGGAAGGTGAGTGCATTCCCTCGAATGGATTCTAGGAAATCCAGCATCGTCTCACAGTTGGCATCGGAGGAGAGGATGGGTGAAGCGTGAGAAGGTGGGCAGAGGAGCCCACCTTAGTGATGGAGAAGAAGAGCCTGGGTTTGTCCTTGGCCTCCAAGATTGCCTTGGAGTAGAAGGACGATTTAGCAGAGGTGAGGGCGGAGTAGTAAGATTTGATAAGGTCCAGCCAGATCTGCCGATGGACCGTTAAATTTGACTTAAGCCAGGTGCGCTCAGCGGCATGCACCTGTGCTTTAAGGGAGCGGAGGTGGCTGGTGCACCATGGTGACATACGTGAATAGAAAATGGTTCGGAAAGAGAGGGGAGCAAGGGAATCCAGAGTGGAGGAGAGAGAGCTGTGGAGATGAGTGACCGAGGAGGATAAGTCATTGTGGGAGGAAGCCCAAAGGGGAAGGAGTTCAGATGACTCTAGGGCAGCCTGGGGGGGGGGGATTTTTTTCCAGAGCAATAGAACATGGAGGTGGGTTAGACAGAGGCACCAGCCCAGACACACAGCCCCCGGGGGAGCTTCTGGTTTTGGCACCAACATTACCTTCAGCCGGGGAGGGCGGGGGATCAAGGTGTGATATGTCAACTGCAGGCAGCTATGAATAAAGCCACCCCAATCCTCATTCCAACACCCTGCCACCGCCCCCCCTGCCCTCGAACACACACACTCGAACACCCAACCCTCCAAATCCCCTTCCCAAACACACCCGCTCTCACCCTCAACTTCACCCACACACAGACCGACCCACAGCTGACTGTCAGGGTCAGGGCCTGAGGACATTGGGTGACAGGATTGAGATTCCTACCTCACCGCTTGCAACACTTGAAACGTGTGTGGGAGTGTGGGGGGGGGGGGGGAAACAAGAGATTTGGAGAGAGCAAGGTGGGGAATGGGGGGAGCAGGGGGAAGGAGGGGAGCAGCGGGAGGAAAGGGGGGGAACGGGGGCAGCGAGGGGAAGCAAGGAGGGGAACGTGGGGAACGAGGAGGGGAACGGGGGTGGGGGGGAAGGTACCTGCACCAGGAAGTACACCACAGCGAGGGGCCCGATGACGAGGGCAAACCAGGGTGTGCTGCAGACGATAACAATCATGGTGGAGATGGAGGTGAAGAATGTGGCCAGGAACATGAGGAAAGTGGAGGGAATGACCTCGTCAATCACATTGACGTCCTTGGAGAAGCGGTTGATGATGCGACCGGTGGGTGTGGTGTCGAAGAAGGCCTGTGGTGTGTGCAGCTGGTTGTGCAGCAGGCGGCTGTGCAGCAACCGCGCAGCCACGATGCCCCCCAGGGTCAGCGTGAACGACGAGATCATCACTAGCACCCCTGGGGAGAAACAACCAGCGCATACCGTTAGTCATGAATCCCTCCCCCCTACCCTGGGACTCCGGGACCCCCCGACGGGAACATCGTGGGCCTTGATGGTGAGACCTCGCGACCTGAAAACTATAGGCAATCAGTTATTGATCATATTTACACACAGAGTTAATCTCCCCCTGACACAGCCCGGCACAGCTGTACCGTGGACATGCTGGGATCTTACCTTGCGTGAGGCCGAGGGCAGCGTAGACGCCTACACGCCTGTGCCTGGAGCGCGTGGTGTTGGTTGATTGCGTTGCATCGTTGGTCCAGTCGCTGAGCCAGATGTTGGTGCCGATGGCAGCTGCATTCTGACAGCAGTACAGCAGGCAGATCACCACAGCCACCCAGGGACCCACAGCCTTCACATACACCCAGAACACTGCCAGCTTCACCTGCAACATACACACACACACACCTTAACACGCTCACTAGAGGTTATCCTTCTTTTGGGGGAGGGAAGCTTGGAGATGAACTGGTTCCTGAGCCAGACAGGTCCGCAGTATTCCAAGCCACTGCTGATGACAGCACAGCCCAGCCTGACTCATCGGCAGGACCTGGAAGGGCAAAGCAGTCACCGGGGGCAGCGAGTCATTCCTGTGAGCTCCTGTTAACCCTACAGCCAAAGCTCTAATGGGTAGGGTGGTCCTAGCTGGACAAGCAGCGCGAAAATTTGCCAGACAGTGATATCAATGGCAAGCTACGCAGTTTTAGCTGGTTAGACTCCAGCATTTACACGCTCTTGCCAACGTTCGCCTAATATTCTCTGGAATTAGGTAAGCAGGGGGCATCCCTCCAAAGAGAGACTGCATTCCATTTCAACAATCTATCTCTGAGGTTTTCATGTGTAGGTGGGATTTGGGGAATTCTCAGCTTGGTTGGGAGACTCTTAAACAGGTGATGGGTTTCTGTTAGTGTCAGTCACCGGGCTGGGCAAACCAGGTGAAGGGCTGTGCATGTGACAGCGCGCTTACCGTGCCTGTCTCAGTGGTCTCGGCCTGGATGAGTTTTTGGGTAGGGCCGGGAGGCTTTGCTGGCTCCACCTTCTTCTGGCTGCGGCGTCGGCGAGTGGACTTGCGGCCAGGGGGCTCCATCTCCATTGAGTGCACACTGACCTGTCTGTGGGGGTCAGCACAGCGCAGGGGGGGAGTTGTGTGGGGAGGCTGTGGGTGCCCTATGCCCCCATCCCCTCCACACACACAGCCCCCTAACCCACCAGACACAAACCCCATCCCCTTCACACACAAGCCCCTACCCCCATATACACAACCTCCTTCCCCCCCACCTCCCACGCATGAGCAGCTTCCCCCCCCCACCAAATGCACAGCTTTCCCCCCCACCCCCCCAACGCGCACATCTTCCCCCCACCACAAGCGCAGCTTCCCCCCACCCTCCACACGCGCGCGCAGCTTCCCCCGCCCATACGCGCGCAGCTCCTCCCCCCACGTGGGCAGGCCCCCCATCACCCACACCACACACAGCACCCCCCTACCCCCACAAACAGCACCGCCACATATACACCCTCCTCTCTCCGTTACCTCAGGAAGTGTTTCCTGGCATCCGCAGACATAGGCTGCTCGTCGTTCAGGTCGTCATGGTTACCGAGCAACTCCTCGGGCAAGAATTCCTCCTCCTCCTCCAGGTCTGTACACAAACACAGTCAGGGGGCCATGCATAAATGCAACCAGGGGCCTGCGCACAAACGCGACCAGGGGCCCGCGCACAAACGCGACCAGGGGCCCGCGCACAAACGCGACCAGGGGCCCGCGCACAAACGCGACCAGGGGCCCGCGCACAAACGCGACCAGGGGCCCGCGCACAAACGCGAACAGGAGTCACGCTTCCGCAACATTCCCAGCAAAGTGCAGCAGTGAAACCAGGCATCCATTCACAGCCGGGTTCAGTAATGCCCCCCGTCCTCTCTACCAGTTCCTCCCCACACGCGGACACTGTCCGTCCGTGAACGCCCACACACCCCACCACCACCCACCCCCGCAGACAATGACACCCCATCCCGGCACTACCCCCACAGATACTGATTCCCCCACCACAGATACTGACCCCAGCCCCCCCACAGAACTGACTCCCCCACAGACACTGACCCCCACCACCCTCCGGACACTGACCGGCCAGTTCCTCGTTGGGCTCCTCGCTCTGGGCATAGGTGTGCAGGAACTCGGCGAAGGCCCCCTGACGCTCCAGTAGCTGCTGGTAGGAGCCCTGCTCACTGACCCGCCCGTCCACCAGCACCACAATATGGTCAACCTGCGGCAGGAAGCTCACACCGTGTGTCACCAGCACCCGTGTCTACATAGCAACAACAACAGCAGCAGTCAGTGTGGCACTCACTCCCACTCGTCCACACCCACTCTCCCCACCACGCTCACTGCCCCCCCCCCACCACCACGCTCACTCCCCCCCACCCACACCACGCTCACTCCCCCAGCCCCCAAACCATGCGCACTCACCCCCCACACCACGCTCACTCCCCCCACACGCTCACTCCCCCCCACCCCCAAACCATGCGCACTCACCCCCCATACCACGCTCACTCCCCCCCACCCCCACACCATGCGCACTCCCGCCACCCCTACACCATGCTCACTCCCCCACACCCCCACCACACCCACTCCCCCCACCACACACCATGCACACCCTCCCCCCAACCACACCACACTCACTTCCCCCCCCAACCACACCATGCTCACTCCCCCCCCACCACCAAGTTCACTTCCCCCCCCCACACCACGCTCACTTCCTCCACAGTTTGCTCGCTCCCTCCCCACCACGCTTGCCCCCAGGGCTGGAGTAAGCCATAGTTTAGGGGCCTGGCTATGATAGAGGCCTTTCCTCTCCCTCCCTCACCCCCCACGTGGTGTTCGCTGTGTGACAAACCTTCCCCTTTAAAGCTCCCTCTGGGCCAATCACTTGGTCGAAGATGTGCTTTGCTACGTGAGCATCGACGGCTGAGAGCGGATCATCCAGCAGGTAAACGTCAGAGTCGCTGTACAAGGCCCGCGCCAGGCTCACTCGCTGCTTCTGTCCCCCTGACAGGTTGATCCCCTGAGAGGGAGAAAGCTTTGGAACCCAGGACCAGAAAGCCAGCCCAGCCACCCAGCCGCCTCCAGTTTCCCCGTCTTTTCATCACATCTCCCCCACCCTCTCCCCGTGCACTCCCTTCCCTGGCCCCATCCCATCTCCCCCCAGTCTCACCTTCTCGCCTATCTCAGTGTTGTCCCCGCCGGGCAGCACGGTCAGGTCGGGGAGCAGGGCGCAGGCCTGTAGCGTCAACTGGTATTTGTGCTCAATGTGTGGCTGTCCGAACACAATGTTCTCCCTCAGTGTAGCATTCTGCACCCAGGCTTGCTGCGGCACATAGGCCACCGAGCCCTGGAGAGGGGACACAGCACTGAGCACATGGAGCACAGCACTGAGCGCACGGAGCACGACACTGAGCACACGCATTTTCCATCACAGTGATATTGACTTTGTCTGCCAGATTCGAGTTAATCATAGCATGCCACAGCCCAGTGTGGCACAGCCCGGCACGACACAGCCAGCACAGCGCAGAGTGGCACAGCCTGGCACGGCGCAGAGATGTAGATACGAACCTGGACCGACACCGACCCCTCCAGCCGCTCCATCTCCCCCAGCAGTGCTGACACCAGCGATGATTTACCACAACCAACATGGCCGACCACCGCCACCAGAGCACCCTCCGGAGCCACAAGGTCAATGCTGAACAAAAGACACAGACATCTCAGCTCCACACACTCACTAACCCCTCCTCACTCCCACTGATCCCTCCACACACCCACTAACCCCTCCACACGCCCCCACACTCCCGACGCACCCATTAACCCCCCCACACCCACTAATCCCCCACACCCCTCCACAGACCCACTAACGCCCGCACAACCCCCCACACTCTCGATGCACCCATTAACCCCCCCAACACACCACTAACCCCCACAGCCACACTCCGCTAGCCCCCCCCACCCCACACATACGCTAACATCCCGCACACACCTGGCTACCCTCCACACACATCCCGGAGAGGCGGGGGGAGAGAGAGCGGGGTAGAGAGACCGTCCCCGTTAACTCCCCTCACCCCACACCCTCTCCCCAACAGCTCAGTCCCTCCCACTCCCCGGGAAGGTGAGGAGGAGATGACAGGAACCTTACTTGTGCAGCACAGCCGGGTCCCCACGGGTCCAACAGAAGCTCCCGCCCAACACAGAGATACAATAACCTGTAACAACACACAGTATCAGGGAGAGAGAGAGACGGGGGTGGGGGTTGGGGGGGAAGAGAGACAGGAGGAGGAGGCAGGGAGAGAGAGAGAGACGTGTGGTTAAAGAGATGGGGAGGAGATGGGGGAGAGGCGGGGGGAGGGAGAGAGACAGGGGGGAGGGAGAGAGACGGGAGTGTGGGAGAGAGAAAGACACACACAGTGTACAGACGTACCAGACTCGCTCTTCTCTCGGTTCACGCTCTTCGGGTCCAGCTCATCGTGGCTCAGGAATTTCTGCAACCGTTTGAGGGAGACGCTGGCCTGAGAGATAGAGAGAGATCAGTGCCACAGCTTCCACTCCCTCACAAAATGTGCTATTGTTCAATTTCACACCCCCCCACAGCCATGTTTCTCTCACCCCCCCACCCGGCTGACCTGCACGATGCTGCTGATGACCTGGGGTAACATGTTGAGGGGGAAACGCAGGACGTTGAAGAGAGCAAGCGACACAAAGGCTTTCTGAGCATCCAACACGTTATTCTCGTCAACAGTCACGTATACACTGAAGGTCGTCAAGGCAACCTGGAGGGGAAGGAGGGGGGAGATTTGTCTGCCAGAAGCGATGCATATCCTCCCGATGTGAAAGGCTTTTCACTAATGTCATCTGTTGTTGTGTTGGAATAAAGGAAAGTCAGAGACTCACAAGGAAGGGAGCGCTCGACCAGGCGAAGGTGGACAGAGCGTTCAGATAGGCCGCTTTCTTCAACACCCGCAGCTCCTTGTTGCGGATACTCAGAATCTGCTGCTGGAAGGACGGCTCCCAGGCATACAGCTTCAGCACCTTAATACCATTCAGGATCTCATTCATCAGCTTAATACGAGAATCCTTGTAACCCATCTGCTCGACCTGTGAGAGAGACAGAAAGAGAGAGAAAATGAGACAAAGAGAGAGGGACACACACACAGACAGAGAGATACACACATACAGATAGTCACAGAGAGAGATACAGACAGACACACGCACACACAGACACAGATGAGGGGGGTGGGGGGAATACCTGGAAACTCCTGGTTTTCATGGCGATGAAAGCGTTGATGGGAATGAGTAAAATCATCACAGCAACACCAGCGAGCACTGAGGGTCCCAGGCTCTGGGGAGACAGGATCTGTTACCATGGTCACCGCGTCCCCCCACCACCCCGAGAACTCTCCCCCCATCCGAGAAAAAGCAACAAACCACAACAGCAGTGACTGACCCACCGTTGAGGAGGGGGAGGAACTGTCAGACACATACAGCCTTCTCTTCTCCAAAAGTGTCTGCCTGAACAGTGGAGGGGGTGGTGTGGGGCCAGTGTAATCATAATAATAATCCTTGCATTTGATATACTGCTTTTCACGTCTTCTAAACGTCTCAAAGAGCTTCACAGAATAGACTGTAAAGTGAATCGATTGTATATTTGTGGGCGAAACGCAGCAGCCAATTGCGCACAGCAATGTCCCACAAACAGTCGTAGATTAAAATGACCAAGTTATTAATGTCTTTTTTCTTTCTTATTATCAGGGGTGTGGAGTAAGGCCCACACCCTGATTGGCTCACGTCAGCGCCTCCGCACCTCAGGCGCTGACACCATCAGCATCCAAGGCTGCACTCTCCACCTCTCAAAGCCAGTCAGGAACCTCTGCGTTTTGTTCGACCCTGAGCTGTCCTTTCTCCCTCACATCCGCACCACAACTGGCACCGCCTTCCATCACCTCCGGAACATCGCCAGACTATGGCACTACCTCACCCCTCACGCGGCTGAAACCCTGGTCCACTCCTTTGTCACCTCAAGGCTGGACTATGGGAACTCTCTCCTCGCCGGCCTTCCCGCCACCTCCCTCCACACTGCAGGTCATTCAGAACTCTGCAGCTCGTGTACTGTCCCGCACCAGGCCTCGCGATCACATCACTCCCACCCTCGCTCGCCTCCACTGGCTCCCCATCCCCCAGAGGATTGATTTCAAGATCCTCATCCTCACCTACAAGGCCATTCACGGCCTCGCTCCCTCCTACCTCTCCAACCTACTATCCCCCTACCTACCTGCCCGTACCCTCCGTTCCTCTGGCTCCGGTCTGCTCCACGTCCCCCGCCCCAACCGCCCTACTATCGGTGGTCGGGCCTTCAGCCTCTCAGCCCCGAGGCTCTGGAACTCCATCCCCCAGTGCCTTCGCCGCTTCCTCCCTTTCCTCCTTCAAGGCCGGTCTCAAAACCTTTCTCTTTGACCGTGCCTTCAGCTCCCCTCTCGACTCTCTTCCTCCTCCTCGCTCCCTCCCTTCCCTCCCCTCACCCTGACCATTTCCCCCCTCCTCGCTCCCTCCCTTCCCTCCCCTCACCCTGACCATTTCCCCCCTCCTCTCTCCCTCCCTTCCCTCCCCTCACCCTGACCATTTCCCCCCTGCTCGGGTCATGACCCAACTGTGCAGCGCCTTGGGACGTCCTCCTGACGTGAAAGGCGCTCTATAAATGGAATCTTGTTGTTGTTGTTGTTGTTGTTGTAAGGAAACTTGCCCAAGGTTTCACCCTGCCAGGAATCAAACTCAGGTCTCTGGAATCAATTTAAAGAGAGTAATTGTTTTTGAGAGTTTTGGACTACAAAATGTTATTGTAGTAGATATAATTTAATTATCCAATATAGTTACTTTGTCTACTTATTTGCACCACCTGCCATTTCCTACCAAAGAGAATGTAAGCAACAAATTGCTTGCTAATTGCTCTCAGTAATTGCCTAGTATATGCAGGAAAACAGGTCAAAGTGACTTTCCTTTCACTCTTTACTCTCTCCCCTTGAAGTTACAAGATGTGTCCACCACATTAGGATGGTGATATCCTACTTGTAGACAATCAGGTCTTGCAATATTTACAGCATATTAAAGCTTTGCAAAATTCTTTCCAATAACTGTCAAGTGTTGTGACTGATTTTGTAGGCAGTATGACAGCAGTTATACAAATAAAACATTTTTGATTTTTTCTGAATGAGCAGGAAACTTGATGCAATGAATGAATTGTAATTCCTAACCATAATTCAGCTACGAACAAATTTGCTTTTGAAAAAAGTATTCCTCGGGTAAATACATAAAATATGTATTTAATTATGTTGATTAAGATATTACATCGTTCTGGGATGGGGGCGGGGTAACATTTTGGTCTCATTTACAAAGTGTTTTAAACTTTATTTCAGACTGTATAGAATTTTTAATGTAATTCTCAATTGACCTCTGAAGCTGTAGCAAAGTGGAGAATAATTATGTAATTTAAGACGGACTAATTAAGACAGTGTAATGTCTCATCCCAAGGATGCCCACTCCACCCCCACTGCGCTGTACTGTGGCCACAGCCTCGACTGGGAGCTACACCTTTCAGATCCAGAGATTAAAGTAAGTGAAGCCAGGCCTGGCTCAGGCAGTGCCCACTGGCACCAGTAATGGTGCCGAGCCGCAGGTTACCTGCCAGAGGAAGTAGAGAGCGAGGCAGATCTGGAGCGGGGCCGACCACAGCATGTTGAGGAAAGTGGTCAGGTCCATAAACCGCTGAGCGTCCACCGACATCAGGTTCACAATCTCCCCCACCGTGGAGGCACGCTTCGCTGCGTTCGTGATCACCAGCGACTGTGAACACAGGGGGTGGGAGTCAGCCCAGCACCAGAGCCCGCTCCCCACACCTCCCCAGCTTGCGATCCGCCACTGCCACCCTAAAGCCATCCCTCGCCCACTGACCACCTGCTCGCAACCACCCACCAGTTCTTATGCCCTGACCATAGCTCCCTTGACCCTCACTCACCTGCAACGCCATCGCCCCACTCCCCGCGACCACCTACTTCCACAATTCCCGCCACCACTCGTCCACTGGATAGACCCCCAACTCCCCTCCCATCCACAGTGGCCGGCCATGAGCCTGCAGCGGCAGTACATGGCACGGCACAACACGGGGGGGGGAGCTGAGCGAGGCACAGACTGACCTTGCGGTAGATGGCACCAATGATGGCTGAGCGCAGTCTCATGCCGGTGATGAAGCAGTACTGGAAATGCTGGTGGAGGATGAGGGTCTGCAGCACAGCCGAGAAGAACATGAGCACCGCGATCATGTACCCCCACCACACTGGCGAGGCCTTCTGCTTCACAAACTGCAGGAGTTTACTGTGGTGAGATCAGAGCACAGACATCTCAGCTTGGACCCAGAGCGGTCACAACCTAGTATGCGTGTCTTTGAGAATGCGCATGTGTTTGTGAGAGTATGTGTGTGAGTATGTGAGAGAGCGCATATGGGAGAGCGCACGCGCGAGTTAGAGATAGAGCGTGGCATGTGTGAGAGCATGTGTGAGCGCGGACGTATGGGAGAGAGCATGCACGAGTAATAGAGCGCTTCATGTGTGAGAAAGAGAGTGCACACGTGAGAGAGGGCGGGCGCATGTGTGTGAGAGAGGGCGCGTACATATGCGAGGGCATGTGAGAGCGTGTGTGTGAACATGTGTGTATGTGTGTGAGAGCGCGTGTACGCGTGTGTGAGAGCGTGTGTAAGCGTGTGTGTGAGAGCGCGTGTACGAGTGTGTGAGAGGGCGTATACATGTGTGTGTGTGAGCGCGTGTACACGTGTGTGTGAGAGCGCGTGTACACGTGTGTGCGACAGCGCGTGTACACGTGCGTGTGAAGGTGTGTTTGAGTGTGAGATCCCCCACCCCCTGCCCCCGCTGGCTGTTTTGAATTATTCACCGTGTGTACCATCCTCATACCTCAGCAGCTGGGGGTTGACGAAGGTCAGAAGATCCTGGCACAGTTTGAAAGCAGAGCCGATGAGGAAATATGGCCCAAAGGTCTTGCACAGGGCCCGCAGCAGCGAGGGCTCTGGCCCCCCTGGCCCCTCACTCAGCAGCTCCTCACCTTCCCGGGCGGCTCCGGCCGGCATGTCCAGGCAGCTCCTAGCCCTGCAACACACACACACACTGTACACCTCACCTCCCTCAATCCCCGTGTAGGTTACCCCCCCACCCCCACGAATCCCCAGATTAGATCCCAGCCTCCCACATGGCGGGTGTGTTGTCCCCCTTGTTGCTGAGCCGGAGAGCGGAGCCGGGACAGAGCAGGGGCGGAGCCGGGACAGAGCAGGGGCGGGGCCGGGACAGAGCAGGGGCGGAGCCGGGACAGAGCAGGGGCGGAGCCTGGACAGAGCAGGGGCGGAGCCTGGACAGAGCAGGGGCGGGCGGGACAGAGCAGGGGCGGGGCGGGACAGAGCAGGGGCGGGGCCGGGACAGAGCAGGGGCGGGGCCGGGACAGAGCAGGGGCGGGGCCGGGACAGAGCAGGGGCGGGGCCAGGACAGAGCAGGGGCGGGGCCAGGACAGAGCAGGGGCGGGGCGGGACAGAGCAGGGGCGGGGCGGGACAGAGCAGGGGCGGAGCCGGGACAGAGCAGGGGCGGAGCCGGGACAGAGCAGGGGCGGGGCCAGGACAGAGCAGGGGCGGGGCCAGGACAGAGCAGGGGCGGGGCCGGGACAGAGCAGGGGCGGGGCCGGGACAGAGCAGGGGCGGGCCGGGACAGAGCAGGGGCGGGGCCGGGACAGAGCAGGGGCGGGGCCGGGACAGAGCAGGGGCGGGGCCAGGACAGAGCAGGGGCGGAGCCGGGACAGAGCAGGGGCGGGGCCGGGCGCAGGGGCGGGACCGGGACAGAGCAGGGGCGGGACCGGGACAGAGCAGGGGCGGGACCGGGACAGAGCAGGGGCGGGACCGGGACAGAGCAGGGGCGGGGCCGGACAGAGCAGGGGCGGGGCCGGGACAGAGCAGGGGCGGGCCGGGACAGAGCAGGGGCGGGGCCGGGACAGAGCAGGGGCGGGGCCGGGACAGAGCAGGGGCGGAGCCGGGACAGAGCAGGGGCGGAGCTGTAAATAAAAACAAGTGACACCACAGAAAAACACCAACAGAAACTCACAAAAACACAAATAAAAACACCAACAGAAACACACAAAACCACCAACAGAAACACACAAAAACACCAAAAAAACACACAAAAACACCAACAGAAACTCACAAAAACACCAACAGAAACTCACAAAAACACCAACAGAAACTCACAAAAACACCAACAGAAACACACAAAAACATTAACAAAAACACCAACAAAAACACGAACAGAAATACTAACAAAAAAACTTTTTTTAAAAAAAACCTGTAAAATCCAGAGTGAGAGAGAGGAGGGAATGTCAGGGCAGGTGATGGGCGAGGACTGCAGTATGTGGGAGTTGATGGAGGGCAACGTGAGCCCCGGGCGACTACATCTGCAGTAAGTGTCTGCAACTGAGGAAGCTCCAGGTCAGAGCAGCTGAGCTGGAATCTGAGGCGCAGACATTGCGCAGCATTAGGGAAAGTGAGAGCTTCCTGAATAGTTTCATCCTGGAGCCAGTCCCCCCACCTGAGGCTCAGGGAATGTATAGATTATGTTACTCGACAGGACAGGGTGACTGACAGTCAGGCAGCTAAGGGGACCCCAGAGAGAGTGGCGGAGAAGTACCAGGTTTTAATCTTGTCCAACAGTACACCTGTGTGGACAGGGAAGCCTGTGATGAGGAGGATGGGCAAACTGACTCCAACACCTCTATACAGGGGGCCACACAAGTGGGGGGAGATAGACAGAATTTAGTTGTAATAGGAGACTAGATAGTCAGGAGGAAGACACACTTCTCTGCAGCCACAACCAGGAGACACAAAAGCTCTGTTGCCTTCCTGGGGCCAGGGTGAAGGATGTCTCTTCAAGGCTGGAGACGAATTGAGGCAGGAGGGGGAGGATCCAATTGTGGTGATCCACATCGGCACCAATTATATAGATAGGACTAGGAGGGACGATTTGAGGAGTGAGTTCAAGGAATTGGGATTTAAATTAAAAAGTAGAATGTCCAAGGTAATAATATCGGGATTACTGCCTGAGCCAGGTGCAAATTGGTGCAGGCACAAACACATTAAAGAATTAAATGCGTGGCTGAAAGAGTGGTGCGGAGGGCAGGGGTTTCATTTTATGGGCCACTGGCACCAATACTGGGGGAAAAGGGAGCTATTCCATAGAGATGGGCTCCACCTAAACCGGGCTGTGACCAATGTCCTGGCAAAATGAATAAATAGGGAGGTGGGCAGAGCTTTAAACTACTAAAGGGTGGGGGGAGGAGGGAAGGTTACAGTTACAGTTAGAAGTAAATCAGCAAAACTAAGAACAATGAAGGTGGTAGATCAGATTAGCGAGGGAGATAAACAGTGTGTCAAGGAGGGACAAGAAGCTCAGAAAAGAAAATGGGGCATTAGGGAGTAGGAAATAGCAAGAAGTCAAAGCTAAAGGCGCTATATCTGAATGTACGAAGCATTCATAATAAGATAGACAAATTAATGGCTTAAATAGAAACAATCGGGTATTACTGAGATGTGGTTACAGGGCAATCGAGGCTGGGGCTAAATATTCTGGGGTATTCAGCACTTAGTAAAGATAGGCAATGTGGATAACGAGGTGGAGGGGGAGCCCTGCTAATAAAGGATGGGATAAAAACAGTAGGCAGGAAGAATTTTAATCAGAAAATCAGTATGTAGAGTCAGTATGGGTGGAATTATAAAATAACGGGGGAGAAAAGACTCGTGAGAGTAGTTTATAGATCCCCGAACAGCAGCCACAGTATTGCGCAGAGTATTAGTCAGGAAACTAGTGGAGCATGTAGCAAAGGAAATATACTAACAGTGGGTGATTTTAATCTTCATATAGATTGGGAAAAACAAATTGGCAAAAGTAAGTTAGGAGGAGTTTATAAAATGCATTAGACATAGTTTCCCTCTCGACTCTCTTCCCCCTTCTCGCTCCCTCCCATCCCTCCCCTCACCCTGACCATTTCCCCCCCAATGCTCGGGTCCTGACCCAACTGTGCAGCGCCTTGGGACGTCCTCCTGACGTGAAAGGCGCTTTATAAATGGAATCTTGTTGTTGTTGTTGTTGTTTCTAGATCAGTTTGCTGAGGAACCAACCAGGGAACAAGCGATCCTAGATCTTGTTTTGAGTAATGAAATAGAGCTAATCAGCAATCTGGAAGTTAAGGCTCCTCTGGGGCAGAGTGACCATAACATGATGGACTTTAGCATTAAGTTTGAGAGTAATGTAATTAAGTCCAAACCACTGGTCTTAAATTTAAATAGAGCCAACTTTGCAGGTATGAGAGAGGATTTAGCTAAAATAGTCTGGGAAATTAGATTAAAGGATATGACAATGGCAAACCTTTAAAGATACAGTACATCTTCCCCTGAGGAATAAAAATACCACGGGAAATGTGTTCAACCATTGTCAACTAGAGCAGTATACGGGAAAGAATACGATTAAAAGAATAATACTGCCAAAAAGAGTAGTAAACCTGAGGATTGTGAGGGCTTCAGAGACCCACAAAGAAAGACTAAGAAACTGATTAGGAGGGAGAAAATGGATTATGAGGGTAAACTAGCTAGGAACATAAAGACTTTTTACATATACATAAAGAGGAAGAGATTAGCAAAAGTTAATGTGGGTCCATTACAGGCAGAGACAGGAGGAATTATAATGGGGTATAAAGATATGGCAGAGTCATTAAACAAATACTTCACATTAGAATACACTGAAAACTTACCAAAAATAGAGGGGAACCAAGAAGCTAATGTTAGTGAGCAACTTAGGGAAATTAACATCAGTAAAGAATTAGTACCAGGGAAACTGTTGGGATTGAAAAATGACAAGTCCCCTGGACCTGATGGCCTGCATCCTAGGGTTTATAAAGCGGTGGCTGCTGAGACAGTGGATGCCTTGTTTTTGATCCTTCAAAATTCTCTGGTTTCTGGAACGGTTCCCATTGATTGGAAGATCGCAAACGTAACACCACTATTTAAGAAGGGTGGGAGAGAGAAGATGGGGAACCATAAACCAGTTAGTCTGACATCGCTGGTAGGGAAAATTCTAGAATCCTTCATTAGGGACATCGTAGTGGGGTACTTAGAAGACCATAACATGATTAAGCAGAGTCAACATGGCTTTACAAAAGGGAAGCAGAAACAGAAAAGCAGATTATTTTCTAGAAGGGGAGAGAATAGATAGTGTTAGTGTTCAGAGGGATTTGGGTGTCCTTGTACACCAGTCACAAACAGTTAGTTTGCAGGTACACAAACAACTAGGAAGGCTAATGGCATGTTGGCGTTGATTGCAAAAGGGTTAGAATACAAGAGTAGGGAAGTCTTGCTGCAACTGCACAGGGCCCTGGTGAGACCGCACCGAGAGTATTGTGTGCAGTTTTGGTCTCCTTATTTGAGAAAGGATATACTCGCCTTAGAGGGGGTGCAGGGTAGATTCATTAGGTTAGTTCCTGGGATGAAGGGTTGACCTATGAGGATAGGTTGAGTAAACTAGGCCTATACTCTCTAGAATATAGAAGAATTAGGAGTGATCTTATAGAAACTTATGTTTCTTATGGGGTTTGACAGAGCAGACAATGTGAGACTATTTCCCCTGAAGGAGAATATGGAACTCGGGGTCACAGTCTTAAGATTAAGGGTTAGCCTTTTCGAATAGAGGGTAGTGAATTTATGGAATTCTTTACCCCAGAGGCTGTAGATTCTCAGTCCTTGAACATATTCAAGACTAAGATTTATAGGTTTCTAAAGATTAGAGGGATTAAGGGCATGGGGGAATGGGATGTGGGGGAGATGGGGGAGTAGAGTGTGGGGGAGGGATGGGGACGAGCGTGGTTACCTCTCTGCGTTGGCGATTTCCTGTTCCCATTCCTTTAGCAGCCGCGGGACAATCACCTCCGAGGTATCGTCTGTGCTGAGAGACCAGAGATCCTTGTCCTCCAGTGGCCGCCGGTACCCCAGCCTGGCTAGCCTGCGGGCACACAGCACACACTTAACACACGCTCAGAGGGGCAGCGCAAGGTGGGCGTCGTAGGGGGGTTGGTGAGCGCTGACACTCAGACTCACCCTGTAAACCACCAGAACGTAATCTTAGACAGGAATCCTGCGCTGTCCTCGGGACATGGATTCTGCCGGGAATAAAACCGGGAATATAACCGTGAATCACCCCAATTTTAAACTTTGGCTTTCACCCCCACTCCTCCCTCAGTGCAAGTGCCTCCTCTCGACCCCTGGCACATGGCACTCACCAGCACACACACCCACCCCACCCCGGCACACGACACTCACCGGATCAGTAACAAGCTTGGAGAAGAGCGGGGGAGGCTCACTGAAGCTGGACAAGATGAGCTGCACCAGGAGAAGTGCAAAATACACATAGAACGTGGCGAAGCGGAACCTGTCACTCACTCCCCCCTACAGAAAAGAGATCACAGTCAGTGTGCAGACCACCCTCTCCCCTCACCACACCCCCCCACCCTCCCTCAGCCCCTGCCCTCCCGCAACCACCCTGCCCTCCCATCCATAACCCAGCTCCCCCCACCCTCGCCCTCCTGTCTCACCTTGTCGAGGGCCTGCAGGAGCCGAGAGCGGGCAGTGACGATGCCACAGAGCAGTGCGATCAGCCAGAAGATGAAGAGGAGCCCGGAGGAACGGACCCCCCGCAACCGCTCGTATTGGATCAGCCCCACAGCCAGCAACTGGGGGGCGAGAGCGTGAGACACGGGGCAGCCCCCCCACATATACACCCCAAATATACCTTCCCCATGCCGCACATACATCCCCTCACCACATACACCCCCCACACACATACACACCCCAAATACCCCCCCCACACACACATACACACCCCAAATACCACCCCCGTACACCCCCTTGCACACACTAACCCCCCCGCGCACGCACCCACGTGCACCAAGCCGCGCGCACCTCCCCCCGCGCACCCCCCCACCCACATACTCACCATGGTGACGCCCAGCAGTAAGGGGCTGATGAAGTAGGAGGGGGCGCGGACGATGCCATTGATCAATTCATCGAAGGAGTAAAACAGGTTAGACCAGCAGGTCATCCACAGCAACAGCCCCAGCACCTGGGGGCGGGGAACGTCAGCCAGTCAGTCAGAGAGGCAGGTGGGTGTGGGGGGGGGGGGAACGTCAGCCAGTCAGTCAGAGAGGCAGGTGGGTGTGGGGGGGGGGGAACGTCAGCCAGTCAGTCAGAGAGGCAGGTGGGTGTGGGGGGGGGGGGAACGTCAGCCAGTCAGTCAGAGAGGCAGGTGGGTGTGGGGGGGGGGAACGTCAGCCAGTCAGTCAGAGAGGCAGGTGGGTGTGGGGGGGGGGGAACGTCAGCCAGTCAGTCAGAGAGGCAGGTGGGTGTGGGGGGGGGGAACGTCAGCGTCAGTCAGAGAGGCAGGTGGGTGTGGGGGGGGGGGAAACGTCAGCCAGTCAGTCAGAGAGCAGGTGGGTGTGGGGGGGGGGAACGTCAGCCAGTCAGAAAGGCCGGGGTGGGGGGGGGAGGAGAAACTGTTATCAGATGAGGCTGCATTTCCGCTAGCTGATGAGATAAGATGATGAAATTGAAGCTGCAGCACAAGGTCTCTGCTTGGGGACTGTGAGGCTCCAGACACCCAAGGTCAGGGAGGGCTCCGTCAGCCGAGACTCCTGCTCCTGCTCACTGTGTATACAGCCTTCTGGGGGGGTGGGCTGGCGGGGATGCCGTCAGTAAAACATCTCCACCTTATACTACATTTTGTCAAATAACAATAATCCTAGAATTGACATGCAGATATTTTCCTAGAAAATGCAAATCTCCTCACACAAGGCTCCACTGTTACACACAAACACAGCACAGCAATCCCACCTCAAGTCAGTCACACTCAAAACCACACACACCTCTTGCAGCTGAGAATCAACACGCACAGGTTAGAGACAGTGAAAGACCCTCTACCCCAGGGGTGAGAAACCTTTTGTCAGCCAAAAAATTCATTTACTTTATTTATGTCATTTATGCCAATCAAGAAAAAACATGAAACGCGGTATTGATTGAACACGGACTTACCTGGGTTGGGGGTAACTACAGAGAAACTATTTCCTCCAGTGGGGGAATCCAGAACAAGGGGCATAATCTTAACATTAGAGCTAGGCCATTTAGGAGTGAAATCCGGGGGTAGTTTTTCACCCAAAGGGCAGTGGAAATCAGGAACTCTTTCCCCAAAAGGCTGTGGATGCTGGATCCATTTACATTATCAAGACTGAGGTGGATAGATATTTGTTAGGTCAGGGTATTAAAGGATACGGGGCAGAGTCAGGGAAATTGTAGTTGAGGTACAGATCAGCCATGATCTTATAGAATGGAGGAACAGGTTCGAGCTGAATAGCCTCCTCTTCCTAGGAATGTTCGTGGGGTGGGGGGGCATTTCTTGATGGTCTCTACATTGTCCGTCCACACTCCCAAGTCAGGATTAGAGACACAGTAAAGCTCCCTCTACACTGTGCGTCCACACTCCCAGGTCAGGGTTAGAGACACAGTAAAGCTCCTCTACACTGTGTGTCCACACTCCCAGGTCAGGGTTAGAGACACAGTAACGCTCCTCTACACTGTGCGTCCACACTCCCAGGTCAGGGTTAGAGACACATTAACGCTCCCTCTATACTGTGTGTCCACACTTCCAGGTCAGGGTTAGAGACACAGTAAAGCTCCCTCTACACTGTGCGTCCACACTCCCAGGTCAGGGGTAGAGACCCAGTAAAGCTCCCTTTATACTGTGCGTCCACACTCCCAGGTCAGAGTTAGAGACACAGTAAAGCTCCTCTTCACTGTGTGTCCACATTTCCAGGTCAGGATTAGAGACACAGTAAAGCTCGCTCTACACTGTGCGTCTACACTCTGATGTCAGTGAGTTGGGTAAGATTCCCACATACCGTTTTAACCCTGTTGAGGATGGTGACCCTGATGTAACCCTTGTTGTTGAACCGCAGATACACATAGTAAAGCGGGAAGACGGCCCAGAGATACACACACGGGATCCAGACCAGCACCGTGTCCTGAAAGCAAGCCGTGAGGTCAGGCGTGACCGGGTGTACAGCCAGCTGATGGTCCTGCAACACAGCAAATACAAAACGTTCAGCCACAGTACATAGCACAGCCCCCCCACCACCATCACAGTACACAGCCCCCTTCCCCCCCTCTCCATGCGTGCACTCTGCCCTGCTGGAGATGATCCCAACCGAAACCCAGAGTAAACATCAGTAACTGGTTAAGGTGGAGTATGTGCACAGCCCTGAGTAGGGAGTTCCTCTCATTGGGAGGAATGTCTCTCTCACACACCTCCTCACTGAGGGGGTTTGCAAAGCAGAGGGATTGGTGTTCTGAGAACACTCAGCAGGTCAGGCAGCAACTATGGAGAAAGGAAAGTGAGTCAACGTTTTGGATCCACAAGCCCAGATGAGACCAGAGGGGCAAGTAATGCAAAGTGATGACAACTCGCTGACTTTCTCACGCCCATACACTGTGGGTCCACACTCCCAGGTCAGGATTACAGACACAGTAAAGCTCCCTCTACACTGTGCGTCCACACTCCCACGTCAGGGTTAGAGACACAGTAAAGCTCCCTATACACGGTGCGTCCACACTCCCAGGTCAATGACAGCACAGGTTTGTTCCGAAGATCAGGCCTGGTCACTGGGAGAGAGGAGAGGGTTCGAGGCAGCTGAACGTTGGCTGGAGTGTAAGAGCTGAAGCATAGTATAATCACTGTAATCTACTGTGTTTCTGCACCTGTGGCTCCAGCTCCAACCATTCAAATCAACATGCCAGCAGAAAGGGAGCAGTGTGTGGGTGAGACATACGCAGGATTCCTGCAGGAATCAAACTCAAGGGGACAGGGCCTGAGATTGTGTGCCCTGGAGAAACACACAAGGTTGGAGAAACAAAAATAGAAATGACTGGGAACACTCAGCAGGTCAGGCAGCAGCTATGGAGAAAGTAAGTCAACGTTTTGGGTCCACAACCCTTTCGTCAGAACTAAAGGTTGGAGAAGTTTGATTAAATACATTCAAAAGGGAAATGCTGATAAGGAACTTGAGCAGATGATGTATGTGGCTGCGCCGAGCCTCAGGTCCGGGTACTGGAACCACGGTGGTCACAGCACAACCCTCCACGATACTCATCGTTGGTGTGTGGGCCTGCCTCTCAACACCCCACTTCCCCACTCAACTGGTGAAAGGCGCTGTGTGTGTGTTGGGGGTAGGTTGTTGTATATGTATGTGTGTGGGGGAGTTGTGAGTGTGGTGCGGAGGTTCATGTGTGGGTGGGGGGGGGGGATTGGTGTGTGGGGGGGTTTGGTGTGTGGGGAGGGGTTGGTGTGTGTGTGGGGGTTGGTGTGTGAGGGGGGGTTGGTGTGTGTGATGGGGGGATTGGTGTGTGGGGTTGGTGTATGGGAGGGAGGGGTTAGTGTGTGTGATGGGGGTTGGTGTTTGATGGGGGGTTGGTGTGTGATTGGGGGTTGGTGTATGGGAGGGGGGGATATGGGAGGGGGGAATTGGTGTGATGGGGGTTTGGTGTGATGAGGGGTTAGTGTGATGGGGGGTTGGTGTTTGATGGGGGGTTGGTGTGTGATGGGGGGTTGGTGTTTGATGGGGGGTTGGTGTGTGATTGGGGGTTGGTGTATGGGAGGGGGGGGGTGGGAGGGGGGAATTGGTGTGATGGGGGTTTGGTGTGATGGGGGGTTAGTGTGATGGGGGGTTGGTGTTTTGGGGGGTTAGTGTGATGGGGGGGTTGGTGTGTGGGTGGGGGGTTGGTGTATGGGAGGGGGTGTATGGGAGGGGTTGGTGGGTGTGTGGAGGGGTTGGTGGTGTGTGGAGGGGTTGGTGTGTGGGGGGGGGGGTTGGTGTATGGGAGGGGTTGGTGTATGGGGGGGGTGTGGGAGGGGGGATTGGTGTGATGGGGGTTAGTGTGATGGGGGGTTGGTGTGATGGGGGTTAGTGTGATGGGGGGTTAGTGTGTGGGTGGGGGATTTGGTGTGTGGGTGGGGGGGTTGGTGTGATGGGGGGTTGGTGTGTGGGTGGGGGGGTTGGTGTATGTGAGGGGGTGTATGGGAGGGGGGGTGTATGGCAGGGGGAGGGTGTGTGGAGGGGTTGGTGTGTGTGATGGGGGGTTGGTGTGTGTGATGGGGGGTTGGTGTGTGTGATGGGGGGGTTGGTGTATGGGGGGGGTTGGTATATGGGAGGGGTTGGTGTGTGTGATGGGGGGGTTGGTGTGTGTGATGGGGGGGTTGGTGTATGGGGGTGGTGTATGGGGGGGGGTTGGTGTATGGGGGGGGTTGGTGTATGGGGGTTGGTGTATGGGTGGGGGTTGGTGTGTGTGATGGGGGGGTTGGTGTGTATGGGGGGGGTTTGGTGTGTGATGGGGGGTTGGTGTGTGGGGGGTGTGGTGTATGGGAGGGGGGTGTGAGAGGGGGGATTGGTGTGATGGGGGGTTGGTGTGATGGGGGGTTAGTGTGATGGGGGGGTTGGTGTAATGGGGGGTTAGTGTGATGGGGGGGTTGGTGTGTGGGAGGGGCTGGTGGGTGTGTGGAGGGGTTGGTGGTTGTGATGGGGGGGTTGGTGGTTGTGATGGCGGGGTTGGTGTGTGGGGGGTTGGTGTATGGGGGGGTGGGAAGGGGGATTGGTATGATGGGGGTTGGTGTGATGGGATGTTGGTGTGATGGGGGGGTTGGTGTGTGGGTGGGGATTTGGTGTGTGGGTGGGGGGGGTTGGTGTATGGAGGGGGGTGTATGGGAGGGGGGGTGTCTGTGTGGGGGGGGTGTTGGTGTGTGTGTGTGTGTCTGGGGTGTGGGGGTGTGGGGGTGTTTGTGTGTGTGTGTCTGGGGGGGCTCAGCCCCCAACCCCGACACCCCCCCCCGGCTCAGCCCCGACACCCCCCCGGCTCAGCATCGGAGACCAGTGCTAACCACACACACAGATAGACAGACACACAGACACAGAGACAGACAGACAGACTCACAGAAAACTCACACCAAATTACAATTATATTGCACCTTTTAAGTCAGGAAGATGTCCCAAGACGATGTGCAGTCCAGGGTTTACATCCCAGATGGGGGTTAGATTCGGTAGAAGTGAAGCCAGACAGACACACACACACACAGAGACACAGACACAGAGAGACACAGACACACAGAGACACACACAGACACACAGAGAGAGACACAGACACACAGAGAGAGACACACACACACAGAGAGACAAACACACAGAGAGACACAGACACACAGAGAGAGACACAGACACACAGAGAGAGACACAGACACACAGAGAGAGACACAGACACACAGAGAGACACAGACACACAGAGAGAGACAGACACACAGAGAGACACAGAGAGAGAGAGAGAGAGAGACGAATAGACAAAGAGAGACACAAACAGAGAAATGAAGTATGTGGAGTGAGGGGCGGGGGCTGTCCCCCCCACAGCCGTCAACATTAATGGTTAACATTTAATTCGCTAATTAAAGATTTAAAAACAATTAAAAATAACTCACCCAAAACCTGGAGCCGTTATCACCGCCCGAACCGCACAAAGCGTCCATCAGTGACCCGGACACCGCCTGCAACCAGACAGCGAGTCAGGGAGAGACACAGCCCGGGGGGGGGGGGGGCACAGCCCCAGCCCGGGGGGGGGGGGGGGGGCACAGCCCGGGGGGGGGGGGGGGGGGGGGGACAGCCCGGGGGGGGGCGGGGGGGGGACAGCCCGGGGGGGGGGGACAGCCCGGGGGGGGGGGGGGGGGGGGGACAGCCCCGGGGGGGGGGGGGGCAGCAGCCCGGGGGGGAGGGGGGGGACAGCCCGGGGGG